CCATGCCCGGTCACCCCCCCAGCGCCGCGTTGGGACCCCTGCCCTTCTTCCAGTTCCGGCCGCGGCTGGAGAGCGTGGACTGGCGACGGCTGAGCGCCATCGACGTGGACAAGGTGGCGGGAACCGTGGACGTGCTGACGCTGCAGGAGAACATCATGAACATTACCTTTTGCAAACTGGAGGATGAGAAGTGTCCGCACTGCCACTCCGGGGTGGACCCGGTGCTGCTGAAGCTCATCCGCCTGGCGCAGCTCACCATCGAGTACCTGATGCACTCGCAGGAGTTCCTCACCTCCCAGCTGCACAGCCTCGAGGAGCGGCTGCACCAGAGCCTGGGCGACTGCGAGCAGAGCAAGGAGCTGCTCACCAAGCAGGCGGGGGAGATGAAGCTGCTCAAGGAAGAGTGTAAGCGCAGGAAGAAGATGATCTCCACCCAGCAGCTGATGATAGAGGCCAAAGCCAGCTATTACCAGGTGAGAAGCTGCACTGTGGTTTCCAACCATGACCCAGGACAACCCGGTTCCCATTTAGGAGGGCTTTCCTACAGCACAGTTCTCTCTAGTCAGAGATTGTACGGTATATGAGAAGAAACAGCATGTGTAAGCAAAACAGTGCTTTTACCCAACAGAAGGCACGGTTCTTTGCCTTCTGCAGCCGGACTAGGAATTAAACTTAAATAAATGCCCGGTGTTGTCTGCAGTACTTCATTGAATTCTAGATTGGGGAACCTGTTTCCTCTTCCATCCGAAGTATGAAAAAAGCAAACCTGTACAAATTGCTGTTAAGGTCAGCTCTCAAACAACCTGGAAAATGATAACATTTATGGGTTTCATCTCATGTAAAACATTTTTGAAATATTTTCAAAGTGACGAAATGTTACCAGAACAGTACAGAGTACTTGGATACTCCCTTTACCATGAGTCACCAATTATTAACATCAGCTACGTTTGTTGTATTCCCTCTAGCTCTTTTTATTTTTATTACTTCTGAACCACTTCACAATGAATTAGACTCCTAAATTTTTTCAGTATGTGTATTTCCTAACATTCCCTTACAGAGAAACAGGACTTAAAGAATCGAACATTTCTGATCTCTATCTCCATTTCTTATGGTTAGATTGGAAATTGTTAATGGGGATTGAAAGACAGTGATTAGCATATTGTTTTATTTTAGCTCAAACAAGAAAGTGAGGGAAAAAATGTCCTGTCGCATAAAGGTACCAGAACTAACTTGTAGTAAAATGTGAAAGTCACGTAACTACAGTCATTTCAGTTTTTTTTGTCTCTACCTGGACAGACTATCCAAAGTCTGAACTCTTTGTCTTATAAAATGGTCAGGCAACCTGTGTTAATTAACTTCACTTCTCAAAAACTCAATCATATATCTCTTTATCTCCATTTCCTTTTTTTTTTTTTTTTTGATTCTGGGTATCAAACTCAGGACCTTGTGCTTTCAAGGCAGGCATGGGGCCACTGAGCTAAATCCCAGCCCTAGTCTTTATGCTGCTGATCTGTCTGCATTCACTGTGATAAGTGATCTCAGCCTTTCTTTTAACGAGCACTTTCAACTGTGCCTTTTATTTCTTCCTTTTAAAAAAGAAAGTTCTATTACAGTTTATTCACACCAGAGAAACTGTGATGATGATGATATTATGGTTCTGATTTTGTATTTATAATTTTTTCAACTCATTCTGCTTTTTAAAAACTATAGTTTCCATAGTTTCTTGTGTTCTATGTGGTGTGAGTGAAGAAGTTGTAAAGAACATTTTTTGTTCTTTTCAGGGATTTATACACTCCCACCCCCGCTAACCTTTATCTTTGTATTTCATTTTTTCCCCCTAGGTTCTCTTCTCCCTTCCTCCCTCCATCTCTCCTGTCTTTCCTCCTGCTCCTTTTGATGGGGTAGTATGTTTGCATCCTCTCTCTCATTATCTGTGCCCTTTCATTTTTCTTGCCCATGCCTTGGCAGCCCTGCTGAAACATTGTTTGCCCTGGTAGAAGGACATTAGTACAGTTTGAAGATGAAATGTCCCCAATCCTTTTTTGTGTCTTTCCCTGAGAATTGATTGCATATTTTTTTGCACTGAGCTACATCTGTGGCCCTTTTTCTTTTGAGAAAAGGTCTTACTAAGTCACCTGTTGCACAGACAGGACTTGAACTTGCAATCCTCCTGCCTCAGCCTCCCAGAGTGCTGGGATCATAGGCATGCACCACAACATCTGGCCCCTGTTTTCCTCTTATAGCCTGAGGGAATTGGAGTTGGAAAGGCTGCAGCATTGTTAGAGCACTTTCTGGCAACCTGTTTGGAGCAAGGACAGGGAAAGAGAAATGTGTAGTTTGTCCTTTCTCTATTGCTGCACACGGTTCTGGAGCATATATAATATATGTGTGTGTGTATGTGTGTGTGTGTGTGTGTGTGTGTGTGTGTTATATATTTTTGGGTACTGGGGATTGAACTCAGGTCCTTGAACTTGCGAGGCAGGTGCCAGCAGCATCTGGGGTTCCAGAAAGCACCAGAAGGTCTACTTGAACTGTCAAGAGATCATATGCTGCCTTGTGTTCAGCTTGGGAAGAACAACCTGATTTCATCTTTATCTTCTTAGCATGCTTTTATTCTCCCTTACCAGGTTGGTATCTTTGGAGGAGAAAGCCCCCAAGAGGCAGTACTTCTGGGACCTGAATTTGAACTGCAGTCAGGCAAGAAGACACTTGTTACAGACACTTGGATTTGTTGCTTTCTTCTTTCCAGTGCCATTTTTGTGACAAGGCCTTCATGAACCGCGCTTTTCTACAAAGTCATGTTCAACGCCGCCACCCTGAAGATTCTCACCTTGGTAAGGAGAGAGCTCTGTCTCAGAGCTGTTTGCTCCCTATTCTCTTTCTTATTTTCAGGGAGACAGGGCCCAGTACATTTTTCGATCCCTTGTAAAAGAAAGCCTCAGTCATTTCTCGTTCAGGAAGTAAATATTGAGCTCTACTGTGTGCACGCAGTGCCCTAGGTGCTGAGGATTCAGCCAGAAGCTGAACAGAGAAGTCTTCTCTTTGGAGTCTTACATCCTAATGAAGGGCGGAGGAAGTGCTTTAACAAATAAAGGGAAAATTACTTTCGTATGCTGGCAAATGGGGTGAAGAAGGTAAAACAGGAGAACGGGACGGAGAGTGTCTCTAGGTGGTCAGCGAAGGCCTCGTGAGCAAATCACAGCCATTCAGAGGCCAGAATGGTGAAGAGGCTCCAGCCTGGTGAGAACCAAGAGAAAGGAGGAGGTGAGGTGCAGGGAACACTGATAGTGAGGGGTGGCGTGTCAGAGGAACAGGAGGCTGGCAGAGTACAGTGGGTGGGGTAGCCGTGGGTGATGGGGCTGGAGGGGTAGAGGCTTTGAAGCCTCCAGCTGGAATAATGCATTTTTGGTCAAGCGTAAGAAGCCACTAGAAGATTTTAGTTGGGGAGGCCCATGAGCTAGTCTGTACCTTAAAGTGGTCCCACTGGCTGTGGATGGAGAATAGGCTTTAGGGCCCACATGGACACAGGATGAGTACACAGGCCCACAGGCAAGAGAAGGCCTGGACCGGGATGGTTGCAGGGCAGAGGGGCAGATAAAGAGGTAAAGGAAATGTGTAGGACACAGAGTGGCACACAGGGACATGAATCAGCGTGACAGAGATGCAGAGATGAACAGTGGTGACCCTTAGTGTGATGGGCTGGGAGTGGGCTGTGGTCTGGAGGAGAAAGGAGACTGGAGAGGTTGTGTTGGCAATAGACACATTTACATCACACGTAGAATAGCCATGAAGTGAGCACCTGGAGGTCTGCAGCTCCAGGAAGAGAGAGACCAGGCTGGAGATAGGAATCTGGGAGTCACTGGAGGAGAGCTGGGCTGACCCAGGTCACCTAGGTGGGGAACGGAAGACCTGATGCAGCATCAAGATTCCCCACACATTACATCCTAATGAGCCCAGAAAGAGCAGTGGAACTTGAGAAATAGCATCTCTGGGCAGGAGGGAGAGCTGGGGAGTGTTCTGTTATGGAAACAAATTTCTAGGAGACTGGTCCAGTGTACGTAATGCTCCTGAGGCACAGAACAAGAGAGGTGCAGGTAGAGAACTGACTGTTGTTATCAAGGGGTCATCGGTGACCTTGACATAGCCACTGTGGTGGGTTGGTGGGGACCAGAGCTCTCTCTGAGTGAGCTGAGCTGAGAATTATAAGGGAACCATTCTATTAGATCCAGGCGTGGATTTCACTTATATTTGCTGGGCAGGATGCAGGGACGTAAGGCATCATCTGAAATGAAGTGTGGGACTAAGGGAAAATTTACTTTGTTTGATGTGGGAGATGTATTCGGGTGGCAGTGGGAGCTAACTAGACTGTAGAGGTGGAGATGAAAATGCAAGAGAGAGGAGAAGATTCTGTGACTTACCAAGGAACCAGGGTTCTCACTACTGTTTAAATGTTGTCAAAGCAAAGAATATGTTTTCTTTCTCCGTGAGCAGATCAAAGCTTGCTGCTGCACTAACCCACAGAGATTCTCACTGACCATAAATGTTTTCAGTATCTAGGTTTTATCTACTTAGGTTGTTACTCCTCCGTTTTGGGGGCAGTCTCTTTCCATTCCTGCCCATTTCAAGTAAATTGATTTATTTAGGAAATAGCTAAGGTTTGTGGGAACAGAACACAATTCCATTTGCAAGTCATGGACCATTTTGGTAGAATACAGCAATATGTCGGAAAAGTGAGAAAGATGAAAAAGTTTAATTAAGCTACCATTCTTCAGTGTGAAATTGACCTTCTTTCTCTTCTGTTTCAGTATCTTATTCTATCTCATACTCGTTTCAGAGAGTATTTCGAGCTCTGAAATGAGTATTATTTCTTCAGGTCATCTTTGAGATTCTGACTTTCTACTTTGGTTTCCATACCTTTCATGTCTACACTCACAGACACATGTATATCCATTCAATCATGTGTACATCTTCATGTAAGTACATGTACATAAATGTTCTTCCCTTCACTTGTTGCTTCCTTTTACAGCTTTACAGTTTCTTGCTTTTGCCCCAGCTGACAGGGTGTAGCCTGAGATCGTGTACTGAATGCCAGCCCTCTGCTTGTATTAGCATTGATGGGGTCTCCAGAAGAGTTTGGTGGGAGCTGGAAGAATGGTGGCCATTGTGATTTCAATATGGTGGCACCTGAAAAAAAATATGGTGACCCCTGGAGGGGAAGCCCTTGCTTCCCTCCTGATTGAGACAGGCACCTCTAGCAGAGCTCAGAATGCCACTGAGTCAAATCCAATCTCAACACAGTGGCTGAAGGAATCTACTAAAAGTTAATTCCTTGCCCAGTCATATGGAGGGCTCTCAGTACGTACTAAATGGGCTCATGGCATGAAACAAATAATTTCCCATGTACGAGCAGTTGCCTTTGTGTTGTCGGTAGGATTGTGCCCCGTAAGTTTTCAGTTGAGTATTGTACAGTTGGTGTTCTAATAGGATTTTCTGTTGCACACAGAGTATAAGGCAAAGGCACAGACCGACAAGCTCCAGAAGGAGGTCGACATGCTGAAGGATCAGCTGCAGCTGACCAGGTCTCAGTTGGAGGCTGCCCAGCATGCCCACGCGGTCCGATTCTCCAAGGTGCGTTGCAACATTCTGGACCCAGAGCACGCCCTCACTGTCCTGCAGAGGGTTGGCCTGCTGCACTTGCTGGGAAAGGGAGACCACGGAAGAGCATTTCTCTGTTGTTGGTGCCCAAGTAATGCAGGATGCACAGTTCTTTCTTGTTTCCCCCTTGGGGATAGGAAGAACAGTACAACTTCTCTGAAAGTAGCAAGTTATTTCACAAATTAAGTGATGGAACTTTCTGTCTTGTACATGGGCTCTCTCTGTTCTTACTATTATTTTTTGGGAAAGGCTCTCTCGTTTTAAAAATAGTATGGTAAATTCATATAGCCTTAAACTTACCAATTTAAATCATTTTTAAATGTATACTTTAAGGGCATTGAGTGTTATGTTGTTTTGCAGCCACACAAAGAGAACTTTTATTTTGCAAAACCGAAACTCTGTGCCGTTTAAACAACAATGCTCCGCTCCGCTGTCCCTCAGCCTCTGTGTCTGTGAATTGGACATAACTGGCTGCTTCATGTACATGGAATCATACAATATATCTTTGTGATTGGCTTATTTCACTAAGAATAATGGCCTCCAAATTCAATCATTTTGTAGCATGGGTCAGAATCTCCTTCCTTTTTAAGGCTAAGATTTCATTGTATGTCTACACTATTTTTTTTTTTTTGGTAGCAGGGATCAAACTCAGGACCTTTCACTTGCAAGGCAGGCAGTGGCACCACTGAGCTAAATCCCCGGCCCACACTACATTTTATTTATCCACTCATCTATCTTTGTGCACTTAGATTGCTTTCTACCTCTTGGCTTCTATGAAGGAAGCTGCCACAAACATGAGTGTTCACACATCTCTTTGGGACACGACCATTTTACAGTGTACAGTTCAGTGGCATTTAGTGTATTAACAATGTAGCTCAACCAGCAACTCTCTAGTTTCAGAAATTTTGAGCACTCAAAGGAAAATAAGCTGTACCCAATGAGTGGTCAGTTCTACTGAAGCTTGACGATAAGTCTTTTTGTGTCTGTGGATGTCTATTCTGTAGATATTATACGAAAGTAATCGCATATTATGTGGCCATTTATATCTGGCTTGATTTCACATAATAATTTTTGAGGTTCATCATAGTTACAGCATCTATCAGTCCTTTATTCCTTCTTATAGCTGAGTAATAGTTTGTTGTATGCCTGTACCACAGTTCATCTGCTAATGGACATTGGGTTTCTACCTTTTGACTGTGATGAACAGTGCTGCTGTGTACATTCTCATGCAAGTTCCTATGTGGACATATGGTCTGATTTTTCTCGGAGATCTAAGAGTATAGTTTCTGGGTCATATGGTGATTCTGTGTTCAACTTTCGGAAGAAACACTGAATGTTTCCAAGGGTGTCACTTTAGATTTCCATGTGTAACGTCTGAAGATTCCTGTTTCTTTACATCCAACACTCATACTTCTCTGCTTTGTGTGTGTATATGTGGTACTAGGACTGAATCCAGCGCTTTATGCATGGTAGGCAAGTATGCACCACTTAGTTAACTCCCCAGAAAATTCCTTGTAGTGATAGGGTCTTGCCATGTTGTCCAAACTGGCCTCAAGCTTGTGAGTCTCTCGCCTCAGTCTCCCACAGTGTTGGGATTACAGAGCTGCATCACCATCTCCAGCTAATTTTAGCTCTTTATTTAGATTGATGGTCCATTTGAGTCACTTTACATTGGAAAGAGGTTAGAATCCAACTTTTACATGTAGTTATCCAGTTTCCCAGCACCATTTATTGATGATAGTGTTTTTTCTCTCATTGAACAGTCTTAATACCCTTGTTGAAAATCGGTTTGCTGTACACATTTGGGTTTATTTCTGGACTCTTTATTCCTTTTAATTGGTCTCTGTGTTTTACGCCAGTGCTGCACTATTTTAATTACTGTAGCTTTGTAATAAGTTTTAATATCATGAAGAATGAGTTCTCTGAATTTGTTTTTTTTAATGCAGTTTTGGTTTTTCGATGTTCCTTTCAGTTCCATATGCATTTAAGACTTAGCTTTTCTATTTTTTGAAAAATAAATCTATTGGAATGAGATTGCATTGAATCTATTGATTGTTTTAGAAAGTATTGCCAATAATAAATCTACCCATCCATGAATATGGGTTTTCTTCTATTTATTTAGGTGACCTTTAATTCTTTTTAGCAATGCTTTAGACTTTTCAGTGTAGAAATCTTTCACCTTTTTGGCTAAATTTATTCCTCGGTATTACTCTTTTATAAATGTTACTATGGGCACATCATTCCATTTTGTATTTTCTTAATTTCCTGTTAGTGTCATTCATTGCTGATATATGGAAACATAAATGATTCTTGCATGTTAACTTTGTGCTCTACAACTTTGTAGAATTAGTCGAGTAGCTTTTCTATGGATTGTATGTGATTGTCTACATATATCATATCATCTGCAAATAGAGATAGTTTTGCCTCTTCCTTTTCACTTTGGACACCTTTTTTTCTTTTTCATGACTAATTACTCTGGCTAGGACCTCTAGTACAACGTTGAATAGCAGTGGTAAAATCAATGAAAGAAGTGCAACCATACTTTGTTTTGTCCCTGGTCATGGGGGAAGGTTTTCAGTCTTTCATCACAGGTTGTTAACTGGGTTCTTCGTGGGTACCTTTGATTATGTTAAAATGTTTGCTTTCTGTAAGGGCATTAAATTTTGTCAGATGCTTTCTGTGTTTATAGAGATGATCACATTGTATTGTTTCTTTCATTCTGTTAATTTAGTGCATTACATTGACTTTATGTTAAACCAACCTTATTCTCCTAGGTACGTAGCCCTTGCTCACATGTATAATCCTTTTTTGTTTGGTTGGTTTTTTGTTTTTTTGAGACAGGGTCTTGCTTTGTAGTTTAGGCTGGCCTTGAACTCACTATGTAGCCCACACTGGCCTGGAACTTGTAAAGATCCTCTGCCTCAGTCTCCTGAGTGCTGGGATTACAGACATGCAGTGCTATGCCTGGCTTGGTGTATAATCCTTTAATGTGCTATTGTATTTGTGGGATCGAACTCGGGTCCTTGAGCTTGCAAGGCAGGCAGCGGAACTGCTGAGCTAAATCCCTGGCTCTATGCTGTTGTATTTGCTTTGGTGATATTTGGTAAGAATTTCTGCATGTTTTCATGAGTTATAGGCATGTAGTTGTCTTTTCCTGTGGTGTCTTTGGCTGCCTTTGGTATCTGGATAATACAGACCTGATGGGATGCTTTAGAAAATGTTCTCCTCTACTTTTTTTTTGAAACGTTTGAGTAGGATTTGTATTGATTTTTCTTTAAACAGGTGGTAGAATCAACACTAAAAGCTTCTGGCTCTGGACCAAAGGAAGGCTTTTGATTATTAATTCACTCTCTTGTTCCAAGTCTATAGAAATTTTCTTTTTGTGTCACTTTGGTAATTTCTGTATTTGTAAGAATTTGTCCATGTCATCTAGGTTCTCTAATTTGTTGGTGTGTGTTGTACATTGTATTATCTTACAGCCCCTTTAATTTCTTTGAATTAGTGGTCATGTGCCCACTTGCATTTCTTAGGCTAACTGTATGTTTGTCAATTTATGCATCTTTTCCAAGAAGCAACTTTTGTTTTCTCCAATTGTATTGCTTTTCTATTTTATTTATCTTTGTTGTAAACATTGTTTCTTTCCTTTTGTTGGTTTGGGGTTTAACTTTGCTGATCTTTTTCTCATTTCGTAGGGTTAAATTTAAGTTGATGATTTGAGATTTTATAGCTGTAGATTACTCTTTCTGCATTGATTTGGGAGTATCTCAAATGTTTTGGTATTTTGTGGAGTTTTTTGTTCTTTTTTTTTTTTTTAACAAGGTCTTGCTTTATAGTGCAGGCTGGCCTTAAAGTCACTATGTAGCCTAGGCTGGCCTCAAACTTTCTGCAGTTCTCCTGCCTCAGCCTCCTGAGTGCTGGGATTACAGGTGTGTGTACCACACCCAGCTGGTATTCTGTGTTTTAATTTTCATTTACCTCAAAGCATTTTCTAATTTGCCTCATGGCATTTTCTTTGACCTATTGATTATATAAGGATATTTGTTTAATTTCCACATATTTGTTAATTGTACAGTTTTCTTTCTCTTGCTGATTTCTGTCTTAATTCTTTTGTGATTGGAGAAGATTCTTTGCATGAATTAAATCTTTTTAAATTGGAGAAACATTGTGTGATTCAACATATGGTATCTCCTGGTGAATGTGCCATTTGCATTGAAGACCAGGGGTTTAGCTCAGTGGAACTGCACCTGCCTTGCAAGCACAAGGTCCTGAGTTCTATCCCCAGTACCACAAAAAAAAAAAAGAAAGAAAGAAAGAAAGGAAATATATTGTGCTGTTGTTGGGGGCAGCATTCGGTAAATATCTATTAGGTCTAATTACCTTATAGTGTTGTTCAGGTCCCCAGTGTAGTTTAAAAAACCGAAAGTCATCAAGGCATCAAGTGGACTAGAACTAGAAGGTAGTTCATATGGATTTGGATTTCTATTGGGAGGGGCTTCACTACCCAAACTGATACAGTGTCAAGAGAAATTTTTCAGTCGCTTTCCCGAAAGAGTTAAACACATCATAATACAGCGATACATGCATACCCATAGCAGCACAGTTCATGACAGCTAAATGTTGGAAGTGGCCTATGTAGCTACCAACAAATGAATGGATAAAAGAAATGCAGTATTTATACGCAATGAAGTACTGCACTATCACAAAGAAGGATAAACCCGAGTCCGTTGTACAAAATGGATGCACCTTGAAACCATAATGTTAAGTGAAATGAATCAGACTCAAGGTTAGATTTCACTAGTTTTTCTTATATGAGAAAGCCAAAATACAAAGAACAAAATGAAAGATAGATAATCGGAGGTAGAGAGCTAGATCTTTTGCAAATGGGAAGGGAAACAAGGGATGGAGGGGAGGGCAGGGGATTAGCGCAGTGATGCCGCCGCCTGCCTTGGAAGGGTAAGGTCCCAAGTTTGATCCCCAGTACAAAAAGAAAAAAGATGGAGAGAGAGGAGAGAAAAAAGAGGGGGAAGGAATGAAAAAAAATTAAGATGTATTATGTCCATGTACTAATTCCCCACGAAGAACATAATCATTATGTACTTCAAACATCTACTAATAAAAAATGCACATTGAAGGGCTGGGGATTTAGCTCAGTGGTGCCGCGCCTGCCTTGCAACTGATCCCTGGTACCAAAAAGAAAAAAAAAAGAAAATACACATTGAAAAACAGTATGTCTGTATCTTATGCATTCTTGCATGTTTTCTGGGCAAGCTCACGGAACACAGCTGAAGGCCTGTGGTTTCTGAGTAGGCATTTGAAGGAATGCCAAGGACACAGATGCTGTGCGCTTGCTGCCTTTAATATGGAGGAATCATTGTGCACAGCCCTGCAACTTACAGGAAGTGCAGTGAGCCTAACTGAAAGAAGCAATAGAAGCTAAGAGATTTCAGGCGAAGCTGTGACCACATATTGTTAAGCTTGCACATTTGCCTCATACCAGCCACGTATTAAAATGATTTCAGGAATATGAAATGCAGAAAACAAAAGAGGAAGACTTTCTGAAGTTATTTGACAAGTGGAAAGAAGAAGAAAAGGAGAAACTAGTTGATGAAATGGAAAAAGTCAAGGAGATGTTTATGAAGGAGTTTAAAGAATTAACTTCCAAGAATTCGGCGTTAGAATATGTAAGTATTAAACCTACAAGCTCTCCTTGTGTGGCGTGGTGTGCGTGGCTGGAGAGGGGGAATTGGAAGGGCATTATGGACAGAGGAAGGTGCTTTACTGGCCCTGGGGCAGACGCCTCTCCCCCTGAGACCCCTGAGGAGCTTGGTACCCAAAAACAGAGCAAGTCAGAGGAAGTCTTTTTGTTGAGGAGATCTTGGCCCTCCAACCCTAATTGTTGGTGCGTTTGGTTGACAAAGGAGAGGATCCCTTTTTTCCTTATCTGGTTCGCTTTACACCGCCTGGAAAACCCTCCTGTCAGGGCTAGGAAGGCTGACCCCATCACCAGCGTGGGAGGGGAAAGGCTGACCCAGAAAGAATGAACAAGGACTCTTGCCAAGCTCATTTGTCACCCCTGTTCTGTCTGGTGAGGAGGATGGGTCTGTAGCCTGCAGGATCTGGCTAAATGAGCCTCAGACCCCCAGGGAACAGCCCTGGTCCATACTGTCCTAGTCACACACACCTGTGCCCCTAGTAGGGTGAGACTCATCCGTGGTGTCAGTCTGGGCCCTTTTCTTCCCCAACCCCAGTCTTGCGGGGAGAAAAAGCAAGGGAATCTGAGAGCTGCTCCTTGAGCTCCCTCTAGAGGCCAACAAATTTTAGAAACGGGCTATTTTGGCATGACTGCTAAGGTCCTTCTCTAAACTTCATTTTTGACTAATGTCCTGTCCCAGAATCCCATCCAGTGCACCAGTCACATGTAGTCGTCCTATCTCCTTAGGTCCCCCTTATTTTTTGGCAGCCTTGTTTTTGATGACTTCAACACTGTGGAGGAATACTGCCCAATTATACCACATAAACTCTAATCCCGGTTATTGAGATTTTTTTTTTTTTTTTTTTTAAGACAGTCTCACTACATAGTTGAGACTTACCTGAACTCACTGTGTAGCCCAGGCTGGTCTTGAACTCATAGCGATCCTCCTACCTCAGCCTCCCAAGTGCTGGTTATTGAGATTTATCTGATGTTTTTGTCATAATTAGATTGGTTTTACATGTAATACCAAGGATACACATTGTCCCCATGATTTATCACTGTTGTTGTGGGCCTTGATCACCTGGCTGAGTTAGTGTTTATTAGAGCAATTTTCTTTACTGAAAAGCTCCTTTTTTCCCTTTTGATGAAACGATGTCGCTGTGAACAGCCCATATGTAAAGAATGGAGAAATATGGTCACCATTCTTTTGTTTTTCAAGTTAACATTTTATCTCCTGTAGTTTTCTGAGGAGTTTTTTGCATGGGTAACTTTGGGGTAAAATTAAAACAACATGTCCCTGGTGGATTTACTGATGTCTCCACATGGTACGGGCCTCTCACTAAATTATCCTAAGAACCAGCTGCATCCAGTTCCTCTGCTTTAGCAACTCTTATGTGCCTAGCAGAAACTGAAAACCCATTGTCTAAGACTGGAAAGTTAGGTTTGCCATTCCTCTTCTCACGCTGTCCTCATGCTGATGGAAATGGAAAGCAGGAGAAACAAGATGAGAGAGCTGCAGGGAAGGGGCGGAGGGAGAAGCACGAGGCATGCCCGGGAGGGTGTCAAGTTGATAAATGGCTTCCTGCTCCCCAGTTGTATTCAGTGTTTCAGGCTTCTAGGAGTATAACATCTGTACCGGGGCTTTTGAATTTTGTTTTGTAGCAGCTGTCAGAAATCCAGAAGTCCAATATGCAAATCAAGTCCAACATAGGCACATTGAGAGATGCACATGAGTTTAAAGAAGATCGCCCAAACCCCCAGGATTTCCAAAATGTGATGCAGCTGCTTGACAGCCAGGTACCTGAAGGAGCGGTAACTGCTGTAGGTCCTTGGGGTTTTTCATCAAAGTCATTTACAGTAAATGTCATCTGCCCAAAACGACTTTGTCTCTTTTGGTGACCATGAAGATGACTGTTTCACCTAACAGCCAACACATGCCAGACTCATTATAGGTGTTCATTAAATGCTTGTTGTTGACAACATGGATGCAAAACAATAGGCAGAATTGTTTCAGTTTTTCCTTGACGTAGTACCGGTGTGAATTGGTATTACTAACCAATTGAAATTATTATTTCATTTTTCTTAGTTCAGATGGCATACAAAAGTGCACTGAAGCACCACTTAATTTTTTTGCGGGGGGGTGCTGGGGATTGAACTCAGGACCTTTTGCTTGCAAGGCAAACGGCAGCACCTCTGAGCTAAATCCCCAGCTCCCACCAGATTAATTTTTAGAGCTTAATTGTACCTCTTCATTGTTGAACTGTTGACCTTTTACAATATTTAAACATCATTGCAATCATTTAGAAGTGAACCTCTGTAATTGCACAATCATATTATGGCTATTTTGGTCATAGTGGTTTAGAGAAGCAGTTGTTTGTTTTAAAACCGTGGAACAGACAGAGATTAGAATTTACAAATTCATCATGTGAAAAAAAAACCAAAAACACCTGGGTTCTGCCGCCTGCCTCACAAGTAAGGTCCCAAGTTTGATCCCAGGTACCAAAAAAAAAAAGCCTATATAGGGCCAGGGATTTAGCTCAGTGGTGCCAACTCCTGCCCGGCAAGTGCAAGGTTCAGAGTTCGATCCCGGGTACCAAAAAAAAAAAAAGGCCTGTGTTACTTAGGCCAATGTAAGTATAACTTTGAAAATATGGAAATACTGCTTCTCCCTTCAATGCTTGTGTCTTACCTGCCTCCTCTCAGTCTACCTCCTCCGCTGCAGCAAGGCCAAGCATGTCTCAAATCCTTTGGTGATTCCACTTTCACAGGATGCGGTCCTGAAGCCCCAGCTGGTGTGCTTTTTCCCTAGACAGGGCCTTCTGTTAATTCTGCCCCCCTCTGCAAGTGACTGCCCAGCAAGGCGCCCGGTGCAGGATTGAGGACTAAGAGTCAGGGTCTGAACTGTTGACACTTGCTCCCAGCAGGCTGGAGACCCCTGCCTGTCTCCTGTGAATTGAAGAAAAAGGGAATTCCTAAGGTCGCCTACATTTTTTCTGCTTTTTGCCTGTGAGCAGTGTTGTCAGTTTAGAATCCACGGGCCCAGAAGCCTTGATGTTTTCTCCTGGCCCTTGGATTGGCTAACTAGCTCGGTTTTTGCCAATAAAACTTTATTGGAATGCAGCCACGCCCATTCACTTACATCTGATCTGTGGTTGTTCCCCACCACTCATAGTTGTGATCCAGGGACCACAAATAGTCACTGTTAGCTCCATGACAGACTCTTTGCCAATCCTGCCTTATACTAAAATCAGAAGCAAAGATTTTCACCTGCATATATCCTTAAATATGCCCCCAAAGCACACCAGATTGTTGGGTTTTCTAGGTTCCCACTGAAAAAGAAGGTCGTGTTGTGAGTAAGTTTCAGTGACGGTTGGAAGAGAATCACTGATTCTACTCTCTTGTAGGAAAGCAAGTGGACAGCTCGAGTTCAAGCTCTCCATCAGGAGCACAAGAAAGAGAGGGGCCGGGTAAGACTGAGAAACCAGGGCCGCTAAGTGGCTCTTTTTTAAATTTTTGTGGTACTGGGCATTGAACCCAGGGCCGTGAGTATGTGAGGCAAGTGCTCTACCACTGAGCTACTACTCCTTAGCCCCAAGGGAGTCATTTTTATTTTTTATTTTTAAAAATTTATTTATTTATTTATTTATTGGTGCCGGGGATTGAACTCGGGACCTTGTGCTTGGGAGGCAGGCAGCAGTATCACTGAGCTAAATCCCTGGCCCAAGGGAGTCGTCATTTTTAAAAAGCATATTTCTTTCTTTATAATAGAGGCAGTATTTATCCACCTAACATTTGTGAAGAAATTTGTAACAAAATTAGAATTACTCATAACTCTAATACCAAAGATAACTACTGCTACTATTTTGTTTGTTTTTCACTTTTTCTACAAATTTTTTTTACAAATTTTGCATTTCTGTAAATAGACCTCCATATATATGTATATAGGCTTGCATAATTTACATTTTTCACTTAATAGAACATAAACATTTTTCTGTGTTTTCAAGTATCCTTCAGAATCATGATTTTTAATGGCTTTATGATCTTATGGATATGCAAGGTATCATAAGGTATTTGATCATTTCTTCATTGCTGAAAAAGTGTTTGATTTTTTTACATTTCAAAGCTGTAATATAAATAAAGCAAAGACTGTTTGCATTAAAGTCACTTTAATGAAAATGAAATTTAATTACGACCCTGATCTCTTTCACATGAGTATGTCGGAAATTTCCATGTTAAAAGATATTCCCACTAGTGCAGAAAATCTAAAGTAGATGTATTTGAGAAGATCTTAAGATAGGAAAGCTTTCTCATGTTGTCACTTGAAATTGTCTTTGGTCCCCTTTATAACCCTTGTAAATCTTTCCTGTTGGAGAAAAATATTTCCTCTCTCTACATATTTCCTGTGAAGACTCTGTTCTCTCTCTCTTCTTCCCTCCCTCCCTCCCTGCTGCCATCCTTCCCTCTCTCTTTCTCTCTCTCTTTTCTTTCTGCCAGTACTGGGGATTGAACCCACAGGCTTATTTTTTATTTTGAAACTTTGTCTGGCTATGTTGCTCAGTCTGGGCTTGAAGTTGTGATCCTCCTCAGCCTCCCACAATGCTGGAATTGTTAGGCCTGTACCACCATGCTTGGCTCTGAAAAGACCTTTCTTAGCACAGCACTAAGCCGGATATGTGATAGGTCATATAATGTACATTTGTATAATAGCTAGCATGATGAATGTTTTGATGAGCATAAAATTCATTAGCTTGTATTCCTCTTAAGACAAACACTGGCTGGACGTGGTGGTGCATGCCTGTAATCTCAGTATTTGGGAGGCTGAGGCAGGAGGACCACTGAAAGTTTGAGGCCAGCTTGGCCTACATAGTGAGTTCAAGGCCAGCCTGGACTACATAGCGAGATCTTACCTTAAAAAAAAGAAAGACAAACACTGAGGGTGAGAAAGAAAAAAGAGACTATGAATAATACTAAAGCCAAACTAAAGTGAACAAACAAAAAATAAAAGATAGGAACGTCCCTGCAAACATCTGTAGAACATTAGTGAAACTTCAATGGGAAAGTTAGATATTATCTATGCTGAAAATGGTGCCATTTCTAGAAAAGTAAATAAGAACCATGATTTTTCCTCTAGTCCATTTGTAATACCGTCTAGTCATGTAAATAATTTATAACGTTTACACACAGACATAGCGCACGTGCACGTACTCTCACACAGTTGTCCTCATAGACTGCAAATTATATCACTATGGCAGTGATTCACTTCAGGAGGTGTTTCTTGAGCATCCACTGTGGACTACTTCTTATACAGCCAAAAAGAGATGTGAAACAATCCCTGCTCTCAAGGATTACTATGTGATTGTAGCAAAGTAGGAGGAGAATTGAGTCGGGAGGAGCTGATCAATGCAAAGTGCCCTAGGGGTTGAATAGAGTTTGCTGAAGTGGGATTGGGCTGCATGTCAGTTGTGCACTGTTTATTTCTTCAGCTGGAACCACCCCTTGTGAGCTCCTGATCAGGTAGCCATGAACAGGTCCTGATCAGGTAGCCTGATCAGGTCCTGCCATGAGCCTCACATCCCAGTCTTCTGTACGTTTTCATTGCCTCTGCAGTTAACTGGGCCTCTGTTATTTCTAAAGGAGCCCCAAAATTGGTTTCTCCAGTTCCAACCTTACCCTTTCCTAATCTGGATAAAATAATCTGGCTGCTCTCTTGGCCTCCACTGCAGCGTCATCCTGTGTCTCTCTCTGAACATATGCTTTCTAGCTATGATGGGGAATTTCTAGAACATTCTTTTTCTTTTGCTTTTCTATTTTTTGGACAAATGGAAAACTTTTCCACTTGCTATTCACATGGTTGGTTTCTTCCTTCACCTCCAGATTAGTTTTGTGTTCTTTGTGGCAAACCACCACAAATTTAGTGGCTTAAAGTGATCTACATTTATCCTCTCACCATTTCCATGGAATAAAAGTCTGGACACAGGATGGTGGGGTCCTCCTCTCAGGGACTCAAGCCATGTCCTGAGAGTCAGCTGGGTCATGATCTTCCAGAGCCCCTGTAGTAACTCTAGGGTTGAGACCCTCGGCTCCTAGAGTTGCCTTCGCACCATTTCTGAGCACAGCTGTTGGCCTCCTGAAGGCCAACTGGAGAGCATCTTCTGCTTTCATTCTCTTCAAGAAAGGCTTGAAACAAGGGCTCAGTGAAGAAGACAGGCCCACACAGGAAAGCCTTCCCTTTCAAAGTCAGCAGAGTGGGACTTGGAAGTCCTTCTGCCTCAGCTGTATTCTGTTAGAAGTATATCATAGGCTCTTCCAGCCCAAGGAGCACCTGTACATTAGAGGATATGTCCTTGAGGGCCATTTTAGACTCCACCTACTGCACCCTCCGGGGCCTCTGTGCCAGGTCCCCTCTGTCGCTCCATCTAGCGAGTCACAAATGTAGCTCTGATTCCTGTTTTAGTTTGTCTCCTTGTTTATTATCCTCTCCCTCTCACGAATGAAGAGCTCCATCTCCTGAGCCCTTGGTTGTCTTCCTAGCACCCTCTGATCCCTGACATGGAGTTGGCTCTCATTTAAACTTCCTAACACACGTGCAAGGCGGCTAGATGTCTGACATTCCGGCTGGACTAGTTGTGGTAGAGAAAGACCGGCTCGTGGCTGCACAGAGAAGGGCAAGCACTTCCTATCCCCAGGTGTGTGGCCGCCTGCACCACCAGGCTGCGCTGCTCCCTTGTCTCCTGGTTTGGCTGTTGAGAAACTGCAAACTGCTCACCTCTCCTCCTCCTCCTCCTCCTCCTCCTCCTCCTCCTCCTCTTAAATGCTAACAGAGGGGTTCAGTAATCTCTGCCTGAGACCTAACTATTAATTATTCCACATGATTGGTGCCTACTCTTCCCACAATGCACATATTGTGTTTCTCTGTTTAGAAGAACTGACCCTTGCCAACTTTTTATTGCTTTACCTGGATTCTTGGCAGTCTTTTTTTTAACTGGTAGTTCAAAGGGAGTCACAGATAAGTGATGGCTTGCCCTTTCGCCCTAGCAGGGGAGACCCAAGAGCTCTGGAGGTTGCAGAGAGGCCTCACAGTGAAGAGGAATGTGGGTGGGCCAATTTGCATTGGTAAAGGGAAGAGCTAGAAATGGTAAATTGCAAAATAATGGGCTCAGGGCCTTTTGGAGATAGTACCTGACTAACAAGTTTGGATTATCTGTATTCTTCTCTCATGAACTCTCCTATACCTTTCTAGTCAGTTAATTATAGTTTCTAAATGACATCATCTCGTGTTTTTTCCCTCAGGCCCCTTGCTTTCTGGGCCCTGGGACAACTCTCTCAAATTGTCAATCTGCTCCAAGAGCAACGGCCTCCACCTGGAGGAGTCTTGGACGTTCCTGCTGGCTCTTCTAGTTCAGCATTTCTCAAACCACTTTTGCGGGGGGGTGCTCTTCCCAGGTCTGTGTGAGAATAGTTACAAGTTCTCAACAGTGTCTTCCCTGGGGGAGAGGCTTAGTATCCATGAGGACATGAAAGGGTCTGAGAAATCTTTCCAGATGGTTCAGCTCTGTGTGTCCAGCTCACTGGAATACAGAGGACCGTGCCATGTACTGACTCGTGGTGTTAACCTGTGGCCAGATGTGGAAGTTCAAGTCTGGGCTCTGCCCTCTGTAGGGGTCTGACTTGGGCTAGTCCCTTTACCTCTGGACTTCCCCCATTGGGTCCAAGGCCAGAACACATCTCCATAACACTGTGACAAGGATTAGACAAGATCAAGTGATTGTTCACACAGCATCTAGCACAGAGTGATGCTGATTTAAAAAATAAATTAGTTTGATGTGCTAAAAGAACCATTGTATTCACGGATTAAACAAGAGAAACAGAAGTTTTAAAATCCACCTGTTTCTTTGGTACTGTAATCATCTCTTTTTAAGTTTGTTTTTTGATTTTTGAGACAGGGTCTCACTATGTAGTTGAGACTGACCTGGAACTCACTATGTAGCCCAGGCTGGTCTCAAACTCACAGTGATCCTCCTGCCTCAGCCTCCTGAGTGCTGGGATTACAGGTGTGTGCTACCACACCCAGCCTTGTACTAATTATCTCTTGCCTTACAAAAAATATTAGAAGGGGTTGGGGGATTTGGCTCAGTGGTTCTACCGCCTGCCGTGCAAGCCCAAGAGCCCAAGTTCAATTCCCAGTACCAAAAAAAAAAAAAAAAAAAAAATTAGGAGCTGGGTGTGGTGGTACACGTCTGTAATCGCAGCTTCTCTGGGAGGCTGAGGCAGGATGATCACAAGATAGAGCCCAGGCTGGGTGACTTAGTGAGACCCTGTCACAAAATAAAAAGGCTGGGGGTGGGTTGTGGCTTACTATGAAGTAGATGGGTTCAGTCGCCAGCCAGTGCTGCAAAACAAACACACGAATTAGAAAATGTTGATCTGGAAGCTCTTACACACTGCGATCAGGCATAGATACTTCCTGTCCATCTCTTTGATCAGCACACTCAGTCTCCATGTCCAGGTTAGACCTGGAATAACCTTAGTTTTAATAATCCAGATTCCCCCCACCTTTCCCCCCTATTTATTGGTTTTTTTTTGTTTTTGGTACCGGGCTTTTGTGCTCCCAAGGCAGGCAGTAGAACCATGAGCCAAATCACCAGCCCCATTTCCCCCCATTTAAGCAACTACTAAAATTGCTTTAAGAGCTTTTCCCTAAATTATTGAAAAATTCTTGAATTCTTTTTGTCCGGTGTATGACTTGCCCTGGTATTAGGTCTCTAAAGGTGACATTGTGCGCGTAGCTTGCAAATGGGTGCCTCAATTGTTTTTCAGCTCATGTCACATATAGAGAAACTTCGAACCTCGATGATAGATGATCTAAATTCAAGTAATGTTTTGTACAAGAAAAAGATAGAAGAGCTAGGCCAGAAACTCCAGGCACAGAACAAGCTGATTATCACGCAGAAACAGCAGGTATGTATGGCACTTGCCTGGTGTAACAGGCTTCTTTAAGCAGCGAAGTTTATCAAAGAACTCAAGTCTTTTTTAGCTTAGTCCATTTGTAGGTTGCATAAGGTAGAGAAGCTGCTGTACTGTTTCCCTCCCTTGCTTTAACTTATAAGTTGAAGTAAAATTTTTAAAAAGGTATTTGAAAATATTATAGAGCAGATTTAGTCCATTAGAATTCAGAATACATTTGAAGGTAGATCAGGAGCAGACAAGTCCAAGTATCCCACTTTTATTTTTAAAATTTGCCTCTGTGTTTTAAGGACCATGTGCCCTGTGTCTTTGAATGATTTAGCAGAAAGGTTAATTTCCTAACAACCATCTCTAGTCATTATCCTGTCTGTCTGTCTGTTCCTGTTTTGTTCCAAGCATGAATCGATAGAAGACTGTTGGTTTTTTTTTTTTTTTGGCAGATCAAAGAGTTTCGCAGTAAACCATTAAGCAGTGTCAGTGAACCCAAAGGTAAGTGGACAAGATCGTTGTGCTAACCATGCTGGCAGAAGAACTCAAGTCTCTCTGACTCATGTGTCCGTTCCTCTGGGTATTTGAATCTAGGAGCTCCATCCTCTTGATACTTTAATATTTGGAAAAATCTCTTACCATGGCACAGAAAGTTGAAGAATTTTTAAAACTTCACACTGTCATTTAATAGTTTCATTTTGAAAAATCAGAATACACTGTACCTGCTCAGTAACCATCTACCTCTGGTAGGACAGAGTTCTGGTTGAAAGCCCGGGGTCTGGGAATAATCTGGGTTCGGTTCCCATACTTGAGGGGACTGGGATTGGGTACTGGAGTGTATGAGCTAGGTTTCCTTCCCTTTTGTTTTGAGATAAAGGTTGGTGAAAAAGAGGATTGTAATTGCCTTTCACTTTTCTTAGAATAGTGACAGCTCAGATGAGGAATACCTATATAATAATATAATATTAATCAGTAAGTTATTAATATCTGCATAATTATAATTATTTAGATATAAATATGTGAATAAAGTAATTCCAGGAGGGGCTTAGCTTTAAAGAGATTTGTGTTTAATATATTTATTCTGTTGGGTGAGATTCTTCATATTGGTAAGTTTCACTTATTGTTTTTCTGGAGAAGAAAAGCTGGGATAAAGTCTGCCAAAATTTAATGCATAGCTTGTGATTTTTGTTATTAACCTTTTTTTATTTTTTCATTTTAGGGAATTCTTTGACCTGGCAAGCTTTTGAATCTAAATCAGCTGCCCCAGCTGTACCTAGTAAGTTTCTATAATAGGTTCTGGGCTCGAAAAATATCTTTAAAAATGATAATCCATGCTATAACTTTCACTCTTTTGTTATTTTTAGAGACGTCTTTGAAAACCAGTGCACTTGAATATTACATAATTTATTTTTTGATTCTTGGCTTTGACCTAGTTCTGAAGTCCAAGATTGTAAATACCACATGATTTTTGCAATGATTTGGGTTAGTTGTGCCTGTTACTTTTCAATTTGTCTCATAAAGTGATGACTAAAAATTCTTTGGTGTTGCTCTAGTAAGTAGTTTCGTGATGCACTGCAAGACTATGTGTCCGTGTGTGGTGGCCGCCACGGTTGGCTCAGTGGAGGCTCTGAGTGCTGCAGGCTTTGAAAAGGGGTTCATCTGTCAACCTTGTGGTTGGCTTGGCCATCTGATCTGTCTCCCAGATCTGTCAAGATTCAGCAAGCAGTATGCCAAAGAGAAATGATCTTTACAGTGTTAGGAAGCAGTTTGTTTTTTAAAATAATAGTTAAGTTGTTGAGATATTTTAATTTCTATCCAGAGAACAGTGGGGGAACAGGAGGAGATGAGGGTGCAGGGAGTAAGGGAGCTGGCCGTGTGGGCCAGGCAGTGGTTAAACGTGCTGTGTGCTCAGGGCAGGAGGGACCAGGACTGGGGCTGGCCATGGAGGGACATCACCGCTCACATGCGGCCAGGCCTTGTCACAGGGCTCTGTAGTGACCGAAGGACGTTAATGAGCAAGTTCTGGAACTTGGCACAGTTGCCTGGATAATGATAATGACTTAATTTTTAAATTAAATTAAATTTTATTTTATTTTCGTACCGGAATCGAACTAGGAGCCCTGCTCTTACGAGGCAGCAGTGGAACCCGTGAGCTAAATCCCCTGCCCAATGATAATGATTTTAGTGGCTGGTCCGGTTCTTCTTGGAGCTGAAGAGGTTGGAGGAGGAGGGAGGAGGGGATTAGGGCTGGGGCAAGGGGAGAGCTGAGCTGGATCTTAGGAAATAAAGAAAAAAAAACATTTCATAGAAGGAGGGAAAGGCTAAAAAAAAAAAAGAGAATAAATTGTTTAAACAACCACAGTAACAACAAGCTTTGCCCCAGAGTCTGGAGTATTTTTTGAAGTTTATTTATTATACATGGGTGTTCTTTGCACCATTATTCATAATAGTCTAGAAGTGGAAACAATCTAAATGTCCATCAGCCAATAAATAGACAATAATAAAAATGTGGTCTCTTCATATAACAGAATATTATTGGGCCGTAAAAATCCATGCTGACATTCATTGCTGGGTGCAGTTGTACACGGCTATAATCCCAGCCCTCTGGGAGACGGAGGCGGGAGGATTGCAAGTTTGAGCCCAGCCTGGGCTACACAGTGACTTAACAATTCCCTGTCTCAAATTTTAAAAAATGTTTTTAAAGGGCTGAGGATATAGTTCAGTCCACAAAAGACTGTATACCTTATAATTCCTTGTACTTGAAATGTCCAGAATAGGCAAATTCAAAGAAACAAAAGGAAGATTAATTTTTGCCGGGAGATGGGGCTGGGGGCAGAAATGAGATATGATGCTTAATAGGCACAGGTATTTTGGTGGTTGAGGTGATGAAAATGTTCTAAAATTAAATAGTGATTATGGTTGTGCAATTCTATGTGTTTGCCAGAAACCACTGAATCATGTATTTTTAAAAGGTGGGTTGTATCTGAAGGAAGCTGTTATAAAAATCACTTAAGGTTAGTTATATGATGCCTGTCATTTGATTATTTGTCTCTCGTGGTCTGTATGGATAGTGACTACTTTGAGGAGTATCTGATTAGCATGTACACATGCTTGTGCCTTAGCGATGGAGCTTTTTTCTTTTATGCTTTTTCAGTGAACACCTCCACCCCTCAGACTCTGGAAGTCAAATCAAATCTAACCATGGCACACGGTAAGTTTCAGCAGTAGTCTCTCCCTTTTATGTGCAGTTTCCACCCTGAGTTAGATAATTTATTAACCGAAGTTCCAGGGGTTGAGGTAATTATGTAACGCAGAGCACACTTTAGTGATTACTGTTAATACAACTGCAGGGTTCATATGTTCTATTACTACAAACTAACTCGACCTACCCAAGTCATAAAATATTAGATGGACTGACAGAGATTTCTAACTCTGAGTGCTATCTTGATTATTTATAATTTTTGTAGTAGGTATTGAGTAAGAATGAGGGTGACTTGCTACTAGCCCAGCCAGCTAGCACATGCCACGGGGCATATGTGGTTGTTTTTATAACTTTCAATGTGGTATCAAGTCACCTTTTCTAAACAAACAGCTTTGGTGATTGGTTAGGAAAATATAGCGGGATGGGGGTGGGGGTGGGGGACCATGTGGTGGAAACCAGAGAAAATAAGTAGGGTGAAATTTCACTAGATGAAATTGTTGCCAGGATTCATTTCTTAGACCAAGCCAAAGGGTTCTAATTGCTATTAACATGATTCTAATTGTTATTAACATGATCCAGTAGATGGGGCGAATATTTGTTGTCATGTTTTACTTTTTATACAACAAAGGTGTGTATAGTTTTCACAGCTGTATATTATAAGTAAATCAAGGGGAAGAGGATTATCTTTTCCCTTCTTATCTAGAAATACTGTAGAATCTAATGATTACATCATCCTACCTTTGTTTAGGCTTTTTAAAAGATTAGACTTAAATCTCTAATCTAAGTGGTCAGTTTAGTTGGACGTTTTGTCTCCCTAAATATCTGGTCTCTATATGATAGTTTTTGGTGATGATCCTTTTTACTCGTTATTTGATTACTCCTTATTTTTTTCCTAAGATCTTTTCAGGAGGATCACAGAATATAATATTTAAATTCTCCACATGTTGGATCTTGTTATATACAAGTGTTGAGAACATGCAGTTTTTTCCTTTGGGTTTGTAATAAAATGCATGCTGGACATACATAAATTTCTTTTAATATTCAATCAACAAGCAAATTATCTCTGGCAATCATTCTTTATTCATATTAAAAGTTGGGCCTAAAATCTCTCTCTTGCTTTCTTGGAACTTCAACAGTGTTTTTTTTGTTTTTTTGAGACAGGGTCTCACTATGTCATTGAGACTGACCTGGAACTCACTATGTAGCCCAGGCTGGTCTTGAACTCACAGTGATCCTCCTGCGTCAGCCTCCCGAGTGCTGGGATTACAGGAGTGTGTCACCACACCCAGCCCAACAGTGTATTTTAGATTCTGTTCTTTTTTCTTATATTGTTATTACTAACCTTAGGAATGGCATTATGCACAGGCCATATTTTCTTTGTTGCTTATCTTTTTGTTGCTCGATAAAGGACACCACATAGGTACATGAATCTGTTTGGCGCTAATTGCAAGGGTCCTGATGCATCCTCAGTTCAAAAGTACGGGTTCTGTATGGAGCCTGCCCAGATTGGCCCAGGGCTGCACGAAGCAGTGAGATCACCTTCCCAGCATCTCCTGAAAATGAACTGCTAGTTTTAAATGCTGGCTAGACCTGGCAAGGGGCCCACGGTCCTTGGGCTGGGGGCAGAGTTGCTTATGAGCATCTCCGTGGATAGGAGATAGAAGGAGGTTTGGCCAGAGCCCACTCAGGTCCCCACCCAGCCATGGCAGCTTCTCCAGTGAGATACAGGCAGGGAGCAATTAGTCACGTGTTGTATCATGTCCATCAGTTCTTTCACACTCCATCTGGTCCCACCTCAGACTTTGAAGAGGTTCTTCATCATGAAAAATGTCATGATTGCTGACTGGCATAGTTTGGGTTCACTGGGCATAGATACGCAGGATTGGATGAAGGGGATGTTGAGCACACAGCAGGTGCAGTGGCAGCCTCAGTGACCCTAATTTAGAGTCCAAGGGCTGGCATGGTCACTCGGGAATTGTCCTCCATGAGGCAAGGGATGCAAGGAAATTTACCCCGTGCTGGTCTGTTAGTAGATACGGGCTTCCTTGAGGAGAACAGAGGCTGCTCTCTAGCTGAGGGTCACCTCATGGAAGAGAGCCTGCAGACTGCCAAGAGCCAACATTGCCAGCACATCTGCCTTAAAGGGGTTTGGGTAAAAATGAGAACTCTGAGAAACCTCCTCCTTTGGATTTTTCTACACCTGCTGAGCAAAAGAGACAGTAAATTCTGATTCTAAGGCACTTAGTAGAAGGAAGCATGGATTCTAGGAATACAGATGATTGTGCTTGATTGCCATTCACAAAATTTTTCCTGGAAAATAAAAATCTCAGATTTTTAGTAGCATTTATATCACTGGAGAAAACATTGCTTAAAGAGTTGTGATGTTACAATGCCCACAAAATAAAGTACAATTTGTTGTTATTAAACCAATCCATATGCCAATTGCTTAGGTTGGGCTGATAATGTGGGGCCACTTTAGGTGACAGGCAAAATAGCTACCTTTTTTTCCCCCAAAAGCACTGTTTTTATTTATGCAGAATCCTAACCACTTGGGTGACAGGAGTGGGAGAGGCTCTTCTTTCAATCCGAGGGCCTCTGTAATGTTGGTCTGTTGTTAACAAACACACAGGCAAGTGGCTTCATGGATTTGGTAAACTAATGACAATGTTTAGTCTGTCTGCTAGAGCAACAAGGTGAGTGTCAATCTCTGCTTCCATAAGAATCCTGAATTTAGGATTTTCAGCTGTAACTACTCCAGCTTCTCTTTCTTTTTCTTTTTCTTTTGGTACTGGGGATTGAACTCGGGTCCCTGTGCTTACAAAGCAGGTGGCGGAACCAATGAGCTAAATCCCCGGTCCCTCCAACTACTATTTCTGAAGGCTTGAAATCAATTGAGAGAACAGTAGCAGTAAGGATGCAGAATCACCTTTTCCAACACCAGTGGTCACCTGCTATATTCTATCTACATGTAAAGAACTCCTTCAATTTGATGTATATATTGTGAGGGGTGGGTGTGTCCCCGGCTTTCCGATATAGCTAGAATGAGGGCCACAAAATTGAGTAGTTAAAAACGGGCAACTATCCTAAGTCTTTAAGTGTGTAATAGTTGGTTTTCAAAAGGCAGAAAGTTTTTTTAAAATTAGACTTTGTAGTGTTGTGTGAAAGGAGAGAAGGTTAGCACTCCCCTTGACAAGAACAGAAGAAGCCCATGGGCCTGACAACATGCATATGGTTAAATTAGACTTTATAGTTATTATATTTTCCCCTCAGTATAAATAGTTTGTATATTGAAATACCAAAACTTAACACAGTACTTTCGTCTGAGCAATAGTTTATTGTCCAGTATGTGACAAGTAGAATATTTTAGAGTTGCAGTGTCTCATGACTCTTACTGGAAAAGAAGGTGGCTGCTCTTCTGAGTAGCATTGCCCGAACTCTTGTGGAAATGGGTTGAGGACTATTGAAGGGACATCTCAGATTAGATGAGAATGGGTTTGAGCCTTGCCAAGTGACCATGCTTACATGCAATTACAAAGAGATTTTTGCAAGTGGCTGACATTCTAGGTTTATATTCCAAGAGAGCCTGGAAGTCTTCAGTGGACTCATCCCTTAGAGAAGAGCTTAACATTACTCTTCATAATGGTGGCACTTCTCTACATTGTCCAATGCTACTCCTGCCTTCCTTCCCGGTCATAGACAACCGAGCAATGATAGTTAACTATGGGTTCCCCATTTTTGTGCATGGCCAAGGGTAGCACAAGAGATAGAAAAGTCAGAAACAAAGTCTTCCCCCAGGGCATCTACAGTCTATTAATGAAATGAAGTGCTTATAATTCTGGTACAAAATGAAAGCCATTGATAAACTAAGTGGTATTATGTTGGGGACTCTGGGAAGACTTATGGAGTGGCTGACTTTTGGCCATTTGAGTTGTGGATTTGAACATGAACATGTGGGGATGGTGTGCTGGGCAGGGTCAACAGAAGGAGGAAAAGGTAGCAGGAAAGCACTCGCTATGTTAATGGTGCAGATCTATTACTGGGCTGAGCGCAGAATGCAGATGAGGTTTGAAGGAAACAGCTGGCTCAGCCCTCTCATGTAGGGTTTGAGTGCCAGGCTGCAGCTGGTCCAGGTCATTCTTTGGGCAGTGGGTGGCTCCTGAATGTGCTGGAGGCTGGGCTTGCAGAACTGAAGAACTGGGCTGTGGACATTCGGCTTGACCAGAGCATGGGGTTGTGATGGCCAGACTGCAGAAGAGGGAGTGAACATTACAGCTGTTGAGTGGAGTGGAAGAAAAGGCTTAGCCAGTGATTGGGGGTGAGGGCAAGAGAGGGGTCAGGCATGGTGAGCTCTGATAATGGTGGATGGCATTGCTATTTGAAGAAGTTAGGAAGACAAGCACCAGCAGGAAGGCCAAGAGCCAGGACTTTGGAAGCAGATAGTCTGGACTCGCAGCCAACTCTAAAACCATGGGCTTGGGTTTCCTTAACTGACAAATGGGGAGAAGAGTAATGGCTGCCTTGGGGTCATCAGGCACGAGCCACTGAGTAAGCACTGTCTAAATGGTAGCTGCTTAGGTAGGATGAGGAAGTCCATTTGGAAGTCAGTGGGAAAAGGGGCAAGACTGGCTAGAGTTCTGGGAGTCTTTCTTTTGGAGGTAATGGCAGGAAACTGATGTAAGGAATATTCTGGAAGCCTCCAGCAAGTTCAGGGGAGACTCAAGCCTCTGAGCAGCTCTCACCTTAGAATTTCAACTCTCACCTTAGAATCTCAGCATTGGAGCTGGGATGAGTAGAAGCTACCCAGTGGCCTCCACAGTCCAGGAATGACAGCTCTTCTTCCTGACAGTGAGGTCTATCAGCTTGACTGGGAGTTGGAGCCGGGTCAACTTTATGTTTCCAGCCTGTGTTATGTGAATCTAACCTTCCAGAACTTTCTCTTGTACCACAGAAGGAAATAGGTCAGAACTTTGGCAGTTTATCCTGCCTCTACAGAAATAAATCATAGGACTATCTCAATAACAGAATAATAAATAGGTAGATGATGATTTTGTGAAAATTTTATTCAAAGTTCCCTTATATCCTTATTTTGTCATTTTCATAAAGTATAGTAAAATATAAACCATATGACTTTTTAAAAGCTGGAATTGGTTAGTCTTCCTAAATCCATTTTCAGCAATTCTAACTAGTATTTGTATAATTTGAGAATCTTGATGCTGCATAACAAATTTGAAAGGCACATTTTTTGGTTTTATTTTATTTTTTTGGTACTGGGGATTGAACTTAGGACCTTGTACTTGTGAGTCAGGCATGGTGTCACTGAGCTAAATCTCCAGCCCCTGAGAGGAACATTTTTGATGTTCAGTAGTTATGGTACCTGGATGGACTTAAATGCTCCTGTAAACCATGTTCCAAAAGTTGACTGGAAAGTACTGTGGTTTAAAATGCAATTCTCCCAGATAGCTGGTTATGCGTTGGTATTGGGTTGTGGGTCAAGCGATGAGAGCCACTTTATGTATACATAATCCATCTGTCCATCCATCCTTCCATCCGTTTATAATACAATACCATAAATACCCCTAAATAAATTAGAAACTGGACCTTCTACGTAGGAGGATTAGATCTGTGCTATCTTAGATTCATTCCTGGTCACCTGGTGAGCACTCAGTTATTGTTGCCCATTGTTATCCTGGCCCGTGACCTACTCTGGGTCCTGGGGTGGCATGAAATGACCTTCACCTTGGGAATGAGGTGGGTGCTGGGGGAGGGGTGCTCTGTTTCAGTCTCCAAGCTGAAGGTGAGTGAACCATGCACCACCCAACCCAGACTTGCTGGTTCCCCTTTGTTCCACATTTAATGCCTAACTGTCACTGATACACCCTCCCCGTGAAGGAAATTTCCCTGTTTTAGGTTGGGGCTAGGTCTTATCCATGCTGCTGGTAGGTTTCCTTATGCATTCAGGTAACATTTCCCTGTGAAAATTCACCAAAGAGCTCATCTCCCCAGACGCACTGCCAGTCTGGGGTACCATTGGGAGCAAGCAGTCAGTCCTTCACCGCCCTCAGGAGCAGAATTGGGATTTGAAACCTGGGGAGGCATGTAGGAGTTCATGTATTTTACTCTTGCTGCTGACCTGTCTTCTGGTTCTACCACTTGAAGACCCTGAAGTAGGAATCCAGGACCACATGATTTTTGGGTTTTTTTCATCTTTTTTTTTTTTTTTTTGCAATTGAAATATTTACACACCTGATCAAAACAATTTATAAGTGATGAAGATCTTTTGCAGTTGTGCCCTTGTGTTTTAAATAGATTGATGAGTGAGGAGCTTTAACTTGGTTATAGTCATATCTTGGTACTTAACTGATTCGAAACTCATGGAATCTGTTATCTTGAAGCATTTTGATGCAGAAATTTTGTCCTGGTCCTCATCACACACATGCTAGAACTGGTTGATGTCTAGTGCCTCCTTACTTGCTACCTTTCCAGGCAAAACAATTTGTTTGTTACTCATTCTTAATACTCATGGTATCTCCTGGAACCAGTTAATGCAAGTACAAAGGTTCCACTGTATTTAAAGATATAATTTTTCTGAGAGTGGAGTTAATGGAAGACAGAGAAGTTGAAGATTCTAAGAGAAAGTGACCAGTTTTAACTGACTGCATCAATTCTCCCAGTAGATTCTTGCTATGTAAGCATTATATACAATTTAAAAATAATATCTTCCAATATTATTTGAGAGGAAACTAATGTTACTTTGTTGATGTCCCGTTTGCATTATTCTTATTTTTCCTCATTAATAGAACAGGCATTTTCGTCGCACGTACTGGAACCAATAGAAGAACTTTCAGAGGAAGAAAAAGGTAACAAAGGACTTGATGAGGGTTTACCTGCACAGATGATATCTTTATGTTAAAGCCCAAGCCTTGAAAAAGAAGCCAGTGGTTCATATCAAAATTGGGAAAGACATTTAGGTTTGGGTTACATCATGTTACCTTATTTCTCTGATTCATTTTTCCTGCTTAATTGCATTCTTTTTTTTTTTTGGTGCTGGGGATTGAATTTAGGACCTTATGCTTGTGAGCCAGGTGGCAGCACCACTGAGCTAAAACCCTGGCCCACAAAAAAGTCTTTATAGCAGTTTAGTGCATCTCATCAGATGGCACATTGACCCACATGAGTGCCAGACGATATGGAACGTTTTGTATCAGAGTGGTGATCTCTCATACCCTAAAACTGAACTCAGCGGATAAAGTGCCTGTTTACAAATAATCTTAATATCAAGAAAAACAGGTCTAAGCTGTGGATGTGGAAATTATTGTGCAAAACACCTGCATGATAAAGTTTGGGAGCTACTTGATTTTGGAGATAAAATTACTGCTTATTTCACTTAGCACTTCTAAAAATAATTATTAATTTTTGAAGTTTATGAAAAATGTATAATTTTTATGAAAGCTATGTTTGAATCAGCTTATCATAATTTTCCTTATTAATAATAGTTTACCATATATTACTTCTTTCAGAGAAAGTAAATTGTTAATTTATATGCAGCTTCTAGTTTTGTAATTTTTATCAAGAAGTAAAATTATATATTCTAATATATAAATTCAATATCTTACCACTTCTGTATCATCTAGAGTTTTAAAAAAATTTTATAAGGCTGTAAACTGAGATTTGAGCAAAGCAGGTATATTTATAATATCTACATGATGTATTTTCAAGTCTTGGTCTTGCTAGATCATTAGTGCTTTTTTGATTTTTTAATAGGATTTGTTTATTTTGCTTCCATATATCTTTGCAAATTCTTTTAAGTCTATGCATTACACTAGTTTAGGATTTCATATCTTCACATCCAAGTAATTTCTCATAGTTGCCACTGATTTTATTTTTATTTAGTTTTTGATTTTTTTGAGACAGGGTCTTACTGTGCAGTTTGGACTGGCTTGAACTACGTAGCCCAGGCTGGCCTCGAACTTGTGGTGATCCTCCTGCCTCATCCTCCAGAGTGCTGGGATTACAGCACTTACCACACCCGGCTTGTGACTAATTTTAAAGTGCTCAGTTTAGTTGTCTAATTTCTCATTGTTTTGTAATTACTGTACCAATGTTTAGAAACCTGCTTGTTTCAAAACAAGATTGTCAAAAAATTATACTAGAAAAATACAAAGTTGCTGAGGGAAATTTAGGGGTAGTATAATAAGCATAACTTTAATGAGCGAGGGTGTTGCCCTCTAATGGGACGCTCGCTTTGCACTGTCAGAAAGATGGGATGTGGTGGGTCACGAGCAGCCACCCCCATGGCCTGAAGGGTTGCCAGGGCCCAGGCCTGGAAGCAGTGCCTGCTGGCCAATCCATTCCACCGCTGAGACTTAGTGGAGGTACAGTGGTAGCCACTATTGTACAGTCGCTTGTCAGTAGTTCGTCAGAATCACAATGTTTCACAGGGACATCCTACTTTCTGACCTTTCTTGGCAAAATGGAAACACTGGGCATAGGGTCCATTTTAGCAACATGTAGCAGAGCTGTGTAATAGTCTCCGGCTGTATATGCAGCCACAGGCTCCTCAGACTGCCATAATCCCTCCCCTTTTGTCCCCTAGATGGCCTTCTTTATTTTGTGTAGGCATATGAGTTAGGGAGCCCTATTTGTAGAGAAAAATAGTTCTTAAAAGCATTATTTAAGTGATTTTCAACCATTCTGGGTGGTTTCCTGAAGATGGGATGAACCAGTTTACCCTGCTTGAGTTCTGAATAATGATAATGTCATTTTCCCTGCAAGTAACACCCTTTTTTCCTACCTGCATATCTTTTTTGTTTTAATTTTTTTAATTTTTGGTACCCAGAATCGAATTCTGGACCTTATGCTTATAAGGCAGGTGGTGGCACCACTGAGCTAAATCCCTGGTCTCCTGAGTATAATTTATGAATGTCCAAGACAGAATCCCTTACTCTTTGAAAATTTGGGAAATGAATCCAAAGGTTCAGAATGGAACTTCAGCTCCTGTAGTTCACACATTAAAAAAAACAAGTCAAGAAGAGCTGTAAGAGGAATTGTGATTTCTCTGCAATCAGCCAGATGAGCCTGTCGACCTCAGTTCCAGGTTCCACTCCCTGCGTGGATGTGCCATGTGACTGGAGTCCTGCCCAACATGAGACATGAGCTCGGGATCATGGCCAGCAAGCCTCATTGTTGGTTGTTGCCACATGGGCACCAAAGTTGCCATCTTTGGTTGTTGGAGAACTGGAGAAGAAAATAGTCTTTTAGTCGCAGCTCAGGGGGGAGACAGGAGAGTATTGAGGATCACGAAAAGCACCCAGAGCCCAAGTGCTGCAGAAACCAATCATTGCATTCTTCTAGCACCTTGCGGTGTCAGCCTGCTGGCAGCAGATTAATTGCCATCAATAAATTCCTCAGCTTGTGCTAACATTTTGCAGGTAAATGCTGGTGGAGCTAAATTTTGGCAGTGCTTTGCAAAAACATTGTGGCTGTTCCTAAGAAATAACCCCTTCCGTGCACATTTCTGCACATAGCACTTGCAGTTGGGAGGAAGCACTTTTGACCTTGCTTTTTTATAGGATATTAGATTGTGTTCAGAGCCCATTTTATTTTGCAAAAATTTGAAACACAGGGGATTTAGGAGTCACCTTTAGGTTATTTGGTTTAGTTAGTAAACAGGTTAGACCTAAAGTTCAGGTATTTTGCTTTCTATAGTTTAATGCAAGGAACAAATGGAGAAAGTGAGCTGATACAGTTGTGGTCTTTGGGGGAATCTGATATCTGGTTGTAGTACCCTCATATGAAGAATGAGGAGATTCATTATTAGGTGATACAGCTCAGAAATTGTTTTTTAATTACTTGCTCTGCACTGTAATTCTTTGCTTATCACATAAGGGCCACTGTGTATCTGGTATAAGTGTTCACATGTGTGGGCTGTTGTGCTTTGGCCTGGCCATCTGGTTGCATGCATTTTAAATTTTACTGGAGGACACGCTAAACTCTAGCAATTTTTGTCCTGTTGGTCTTGCTGAGAAATACATGCTTTACCTAAAACCTGTGTCGTCTTTACAAATGATTAATTGTACCTCTACCTAAAAACGACTTTTATCTAAGTGGACTCTCCATTCTTCTTGCTTCCCTCAGCTAGTCCAAGTCTTGAAAGAATCACCTACCAAGAGTTTTTTTTATCCACGAATGGGTTACCAACACAATTACCAACATATAAAGTGGATTTGAGGGCAAAGTGAAAATTTTAATCTGCTATCATTAGGTCATCAAAAGGAACTTGTCATCAGGGTTAAGGGTGACTCTGGACACATCAGGGAGTGAATACAATAGCTGATACCCAAGGCTTTGAAGACTTTTTAAAATATGAATAAGCTGCTCTAGGTATCACCTGACCCTTGTACATGGCCCAGTGTCCCATAGTAAACAGGACCCAGAGCCTAGTACTGTCCCCCTGCCCCCCAAAAAGTCTTTATGCGAGTTTTTTTCTCTATTTAATGTATAAATAGTAATTTGACTAATTTTGATTAAAGTAAAATTTTATGAATAGAAATATTCTTTAGTACTGGGATCATACAGACGTCTAGGATAAACATTTTAAACAAAAGACGTTTTGTTCAAGGTCTTCAATGAAACTGAGTGCTGTGGGTACTGAGAGTTCGATGGGGCGGTGGAAGGGAGTGTTTCTTGGGCCTGCCCTTGGTCCCATACCTAGGGAATGGCATTCCGTGCGGCCCTTGTTGAATGAAATGCTCTTATTGGGTGAGCCTTCGAAATAGTAGTACAGTTGTAAATTTCTGTCTTGGACATTCACTCAGGGTCCAAAGAGCCAAACACTGGGTCTTTTTCGTACAGTGTTTGCCTACCTTGGATAGGACTCAGACTTCAAGGTCATACTATAAGTCCCCTTCTCCAAGCTTTAAGTGGGAAATAGTAGAAGTGGCATCGAGTGGGCTGGCATTGTAGCTCAGTGATAGAGTACCTGTTTAGCATATGTGAGGCCCATGGCTCCATACCCAGCGCCACAAAAAACATGGGATAGGGAAGGATATGTGAAGAGGGAGATTAATTTTTGGTTTCTTTATTTTAACTTTAGGTTGTTTGAAACAAAATATACATTTCCTAAGGCTCTTGTTAGCCTCTTTTCATGTTGGTAAAGAGTATGAGTGGATAAGGGTGGGGATTTAGGTCTGTGGTGCCACCACCTGCCTTGAAAGTACAAGGACCCGAGTTTGATCCCCGTACCAAAAAAAAAAAAAAAAAAAAGAAAAAGAAAAGAAAATATGAGTTGATAATAATGATTACATTTTGAAATTTTAAATGCACTTAGCTTCTACTACATTTATTACTTTCATTCTTGTAGTCATTAAAATAAACTGAGTTTTTGCCTCACAAGATTCTAACTGAATTTGTGATGGATTTCTCAGGAAACAGGGAAATAGTTTTAATAATAAAACATTAAACTTTATTAAGTTTAGTGGTACATATTAGGTATACAATACAGTTACATTCATCATTAGAAAAAACATTAAACTTCTAAAGTTCTAAACTTCTAATGTTGTAAAGGCATTTTTTTCCCATTCTACTTCTATTGATACCTATATTTTAAAAATTGTTTAGCTATAATTTTGTTAAGCAACCAAGGTGCTTTAAAGACACCGATGGTTTTTGTTTTGTTTTGTTTTGTTTTGAGACAGGGTCTCACTACATAGTTGAGACTGACCTGGAACTCACTATGTAGCCCAGGCTGGTCTTGAACTCACAGTGATCCTCCTGCCTCGGCCTCCCGAGTGCTGGGATTATAGGCGTGTGCCACCACGCCCGGCTGACACCGGTGTTTTGAAGTGGGCTTTAAATAGTTTTAGAAGCTACAAATAACATTGTATATTGCATGGAAGGACTAAACTATCCACAAAACTCAAAAACATTAAAAATACTTACTTGCTGTTTGAAATTGTGCTTTATCATTTTCTGCTTGGAGTCTTAATGTATTTGTTTAATTCTCTTTTAACTCATTTTTAACCTTATTTCAGGAAGGGAGAGTGAACAGAAATCAAGTAACAAGAGAAATTTAAGGAAAGTTTTGAAGATAAATCCCTCCCTCACTAAGGGAATAAAAACAGTCTTGGAGCAGAACTTGGTGGAGAAACTGGAAACCCTGGGCATTAATGCAGTACGTTCATCCCTTTTTTACATATTTCCTAATTTTTTATATGTGGATGCATATATGTGCATGGACACATATGTAGGCACAAATAGCCATGTACACCGTGTATGTATCTGAATGACAGGTGCTCGTGTATAAGGTGTGCATGCATTGGGATGTATGTATATGTACTCACATGTATCCATGAGTATCTGCATGCATGTACAAATATGAATGCATACATGTGTGTGCACAGATTTGTATGTGTGCTTCTACATGAGTAAATGTATGTGGATATATTTGTGCATGTTTGTATCCTTACGTTATACATGGGTTTGTGTGTACACATATGTATATACATGTGTCATCTGTGCCCAGCTCCCAAATAATAAGGCTGGACATTTCTAATTCCCTAGATGACCCCCTGTGTCTTCCTCATCAGTACTACCCTCCTCTAACTAGAGCTAACGGATTATAGTTCTGCTTGTTCTTGAACCTCATATACGTGAAATCATGTATTGCATAATACCGTATTTTGTCTTATTTTACTTCTGCTTTTATTTTTGTTATTCATACCTGTTGTTTCATGTAGCAGTTCTTTTTTTGCATCGCAATAATGTGTTGTGTGAATATACTTCAGAATCTCTCCTTGTTGCTGGACATGTAGGTTTCCAGTTTGGCCTCTTTTGAGCTATTAATTTTTGTACATGTCTTTTGGAACACATAGGTCATCAAGATCTATATATTTTTCTTGGGTCTTTTTTGGGAATGAAATTGCTGGGTCAAAGGGTAGATGTATATATGTTTAATAGAATAGCTACTGCCAAATGGTTTTCCAGTGTGAGCTCACATTATCCCTAACAGTGCATGAGAGTTGGTTGCTTCACATCTTTCACCATTTCTTAATATTGTCAATGTTTAATATCTACATAAATTCTTTTTAGGTGAGTTTCCAGCACCCGTAGGGCCATGAAAAGCAAAGATAATCATGGAATGTCCTGGTTCCTCTGAAAAATGCTTCTTAAAACTTTTTTTTTTTTTTGCTTGTTTGTATATGGCTTCTGGATTTTAATTTTAACTGGGACATTTCCTTTTATCCTAAGGTTTTAAGAACATTCTGTTTTTTTCCCTAATGCTTGGGGAGGTTGTGTGTTTTCTGGTTTTTTGTTTGCTTTGTTTTGTGTCTATCTCGGGTTTAAGAATTAAGTTTAGAGCTGGGCATGGTGGTGCATGCCTATAACCCTAGCACTCGGGAGGTTGAGGCAGGAGGATCACTGCAAGTTCGAGACCAGCCTGAGCTACACAGTGAGTTCCAGAGCAGTCTGAACTACATAGTGAGACCCTGTCTCAAAAAACAAAACAAAACAAAAAAAATTAAGTTTAGAAACAGCGATTTTCAAATCTGATTTTACAGCTGTCACAATGTCATCTGTTGAGTAAACCATCCTTTCCCCATTTGTTTAAAAAGGTACTTTAATCATATAGAAAGTTCCTATCTGTCTTTGGATTTATTTTTGGACTTGTAGCTTTTTTTGCCCTTGTTATTTGTATTCCTTTGCCAATGCCATACTGATTGAATTATATTAGCTTTGTTGTGTATTTTCGTATCTTCCATTGGCCATGGCTTCTTTTTTTCCCCCTATTAAGTTTATTGGTACATTTAAGGCAAACAATAGTTACATATATCATTAGGATCTTGTTCTTTACGTGATATATCTCAGTTCTTATTTTTTCCCCCATTTCCCTGCCCTCCCTTCACCCTTCCCTATTTACACAGACTTTATTTCCATTTTTTCCTTTTTTCATATTTTTTCTTTTCCCATATTTCCTTTCCCCTCCCCTTCCCACTGGCCATGGCTTCTTCAATAGTCTTATTTCAAAAATTTCTCAGTAGGTCTTCCGTTTGTTTGTTTGTTTTCCAGTGGACTTTAGAAGAACATCCCCAGTTCCGGAATAACTCCCGTTGAGATTCTGATTAAAATTAAAATTACTTTAACTTTTTGTGTGAATTAGGGAGGATAGACATTTGTGAGGTAGTAGGTCCTTCCATCCTGCTTCAGGGCATAGGTAATCATTAAGCAGCTGGTGAGGTGCGACAGATGGACAATCTCTGATGGTAGATTTTATGCAGTGAAATGAAGGAAAGGGGTGGGTTGATTAAATAACTGAGATCAGAGAAAACTTTGTGGAGGTGGCACCAATCTGAGGGTATATATCTGCCCTGGACAGCGGGTGCGTGGTGGAACTGCCGTCTGGCACGGGGAAGGCTGAAGGAGGAAGGAAGCAGAGGGGAAGGGGCTGAAGACAGGAGGCACTGTTACTAACTAGCCATTCAGCCAGCTTTTATACTAGGTTCTCATCGAATCCACATTTTCTCGGTGATCTATAGTTGTGCTAGTCCTGTGATTAAACATTATCTCTGATGACTCTTTCTGCCCTGTGATCAACCTTTCAGCTTTTCATGTTGGCCTACCGTCTCCTTTTCTGGTCTAATCTCCCAGGATCTTGTAGGATTAGCCTGTGTGACGTGGTTTCACTGTTTCAGCACCCGTGTTGGACTGTTTCTTCCCCACAGCACAGCATACCCTAATCCAGTGCTTACCCATCTCAAAACTCGTTTCTACTTGCTTGACCCCACCCCTCTGTTAGACCACAGCTCAGCCTCCCACTTCAGTCTTCTCTGGCCACCCTTGGTCAGCAGACACACACATCTCTGCTGTGTCCAACCACACGGGGAGCTCCTTTGGGGCCAGGGCAGTGTGTTAGTTGGGGCACTGCCTACTTTACTTGCCGTTGGGGGCCAGCAAGGATGACTTGAGACATTGGTATAATTAATGTTGGCATGTGCTCACGTAATGAAAAGCAACTCCGGAGTTGTAGAAAAAGGGATGCACTTTGAGTCGGTAATGTTAGGGGAAACAAATCAGATACACAAGCTTAAATGTTACATCGTTTCTCTCATGAGAAACTCAAAGTATAAATAAAGAGTAAAATAAAGGATAACAGGAAATAGGCAGATCATACTTCCAATTTAACATCTCACTCCTTCAGGACATACATGGTATTCCAAGTGATCACTTGAATATTGTGATGCGCACTATGGAATCAACAAGACATGAGCGAGAAAGACAAATACCGAACATGCAGCAAATCCGAGAGCTCCTGGAACATCAGCTCAGCTGTAAAATGGAGGAGAGAACCTTACTGTCTTCAGGTAAGGCTGTTGCCGACTGCCGTTCCCTTGCTGCAGATGGGAGCTTAGTTCTTATTTTATTTTACTTATTTTTGGGGGGGAGCCTAGTTTTTAATAACCTTTCATAATTTTAAGTAGTTTACAAACTTTAGCACTTCGTTGGCAACACTCTTGCTGTTTGTACCGTTAAGTGTTTAGCCTTGGGTTTTCTTTCTTTTTTTGGGGGGGGGTTTACTGGGATTGAACTCGGGACCTCGCACTTGCGAGAGGCAGGCAGTGGCACCAGGGAGCTAAATCCCTGACCCCTTTGGGTTTTATTTCTATGTGGAAAAAAAAATCCCTGGAGTCAGGACTGCAGACCCTAGAGACCAGCCTGTTTGTTTCCCTGGCACCAGAAGTAGTATTGTGCTGTTTCATTTTGCTTTTCACTGTATTGACCATATGGCAATGGAGACTCATGAATGCACTGCTATTCCAGATAAGTACAGTGTTTCTCAGATGGACACGCTTTCAACTGGAGAAATACCCAGGGCAATCCAACTTCCTCCCAAAAGCAGACAGTTGGTTAGACAAAGACCTGTTTTTACTGATAGGACGGCTGTTCCAAAGTGAGTATTTTCTTTCTTTTTTTTTTGGTACCGGGGATTGAACTCGGGTTCTTGTACTTGCAAGGCAGGCCACCGAACCGCTGAGCTAAATCCCCGGTCCCCAAAGTGAGTATTTTCAACCCTCAAATTTTTTTTATCGTTTGTCTTAAGCACTTCAGGCTGCCATATAATATAACATCGATTGGGTGGCTTAAATGACAGAAATTGCTTCTCCCACAGTTCTGAAGGCTGGGAGTCTGAGATCACGGTTCCCGACATGGTCAAGTTCTATCCAGGGTCCTCTCTATGTCTGGCCACCAGCCACCTCCTCCTGTGTCCTCACAAGTTGGAGGGCAAGCTCTGGTCTCTCCCTCTTCCTGTAAGGGATCCCATCATGGAGGCCTTGTCTCATGACTTCATTCAGGCCTAATGACTTCCCAAAGTTCCTGCCACCGGATACCATTACACTGGGGATCAGGTCTTCACCATGGGACTTTGGTGGATTACAAATATCAAGTCCGTAATCACTTCCTTTCAGTTTCTTGTTGACATTGGAGATTCATTGCTTTCTTTCTTTAATATTGTGTTAAAAGAGAAATATCACCAATTCCATAGAAACGTATGTTAAATTATATCACATGTACACTTTAGAAACACTTGTGTTTTCTTTTTTTTTTTGTAGAAATAAGAAAAATATCATAGAAGATCATCTTCACAGAAAGTCTTCATCTACTTCGTGAGTACTAGGCGAGGTTTTGGGGAGAGGGGTATTTAAGATCTATTCACTGAACACTCCTTTTGTATAAATTAGTGTGCTCATTGTGGTTAACTAAAGTCACAAGTACTTAGTGTCACAGTTTGTGATCATTACGTGTGACACATCTTTATCCGTTATGTAAAGCAGTAGCACCTAACCACATGACGGTCCCCATGAGGAAGGGAGACCACACCTAAGTCATTCCTGTCCCGGTGGTGGAGTAACTTGTCAGCAAGCTCATGTAAGTCAGGTGGAAGGTGTTGATTTCCATGGCCACATCCACGACAGTAAAGTTTCATTTGATGTCTTCGTGTTCTGGCCTTTTGTCAGGCCTCACAGTGACCCTAGATCAAATTCTGTGAGGTTCTCCAAGACACCAAGAGTCCTTGTGCAGTTGCTTCTCAACTGTGAGTCACTGTCTCACTTGATTCCAGTTTAAGTCTTGATTTACTCATAAATGTAATGCTGGGTTTTTTCACAGGATAATTCTGCAAATTAAATGAAAATACAATAAAAAGGCTGGGCTCAGTGTTTGCCAATTTAGTAAATAGGTATATTTACTCTAATTCATTCTGAATAAGACTAGTTTTACTGTCATTGAATCTCACCATCATCGCCTGATTCTGGAGATACTGAAGCTGTAAATTTCTCTTCTCCGAGGCACTGTATAGCAGAGACAAACAGTGAGTCATTGCTCAAAAGCACTTTTCATGGACATAATCTCATAGGGAGAGCTTTATTTTATGAGACAGCACGAGTGAATCAAGATTCACAAGGTTGATGTGTTGTCTGGAATGTAGGTGCTTCACGAATATTTAAATGAGCACTGCTCTGAACTTCTATTTCATTTTTAAATGGGGGTCATAATTCATGTGATTATACAAATGGGCTTGTGTATGTACAAGTACTTTGTGTGATACAGTGCCAAAGTAAGCTGGAAGTAATAACATTATTTTAAAAGAGTAGTCTTATTGTGGAGAATGTTCTTCCTTGAGAAATGTGCTTAGCACCGAAAAGAACAAGAATATTGAGAATAGACACGGTGGCGCTTTGAGGGGAAAGGTCATAGCTTTAGTGTCATGGTAACCACCCTGCCTGGTTGGCTGAGGTGGCTCTGGCATGACCCCTCAGCCTTGTACAGAACAGTGGGGCCTCCCTGCCACCTTGTCTGAGGCCACACTCTGGAAAGTCCCTGAGAAGATTCTCACCGATTTAAAAGGGATTCGGTTTGCACGACGCCTGCTTTGGTTTGGATTTATGTAGGACACCTCCCTTCAGTTCAGAGGAGGAGCTGGACGACGATGGCTTCATTCAGGCGTATGTGTCCCCGGAGTTACTTTCCGGACAGTTGTCCAGGAGCAACAAGAATGGCGTTGGACAGAACGCTGTCAAAAGCGACACAGAGTGGACCGAAGGAAGTGAAGTCGAGGACTCCGATGTTTCTCCCAAGCCTACAGGTGAGCTTTGAAAATCCCGCACATTGTATTTAGGACAATTGTATTTCCCTCCCAGGGTCACTGAGCACTGAAAACCTGAGGAGGCGGGTGCACGGAGAGGATAAGACTACTCCAGAAGGCGCTGCACCTAGTGATGTGGATACACTCAGCAACCAGCCCATCTTCAGTTTGGAGGAGAGCAGGCCCTGGGGGTACCCGGATGTGTCCTAGGGCCAGTGTGGCAGAGAGCCACAGCTGGGCATTGCTGTCTGGGAGGCTGGAAGTCCAGAATCAGGGCATGGGCAAGATTGCTCACTTGTGAGGATTGTTCTGGGCCTGTGCCTTGGTCCTCGCTGGCCATCCCCTCCCTGTGTACCTTCACGGCACCCTCCCTCTGTGCCTCCATCTCTGTCCTGGTTTCCCATTTTCATCATGGCTCTGGTCACATGGATTAGGACTCACTTTTCATGACCTTACTTTAAGCGCCTCTTGACATATTCATTTGCAAATAAGACCACATTCCCACATGTCGGAGGTGAGGACTTCAACCTCTGAATTCAAGGGCCACAGTTTAATCCACTAAAACATGGTGAGAGTGGCTGCTCTAATACACTGTGCTGCCCTTTGGCACAGATTGGGCTAGTTTGAGAGAGAGGCAAGGTCCCAGTCTGTGATTGCAAATAACTTGCTGAAGAGTATTTTTTTAAAAAAATTGTCTGTTTTGTTTTGTTTTTTGAGCTAGGGTCTCACTATGTAGTTCAGACTGGCCCTGAACTCACTGTGTATCCTAAACTGACCTCAAACTCTCAGCAATCCTTCTGCCTCAGCCTCCCAAGTTCTGGAATTACAGGCATGTGCGACCATGCCCAACCTGAAACTCTGCAGTGTAATTTAAAATTATATAGTTTGAACATTTCAGATATAATATTGTTTTATTTTATATAACATATTGTGTAGCTATGTAATTATGTAAAACAGAACTAATTTAAAAAGAGTTTATATTGTTTTGGAGAATATCTTTTTAAGCAATTCTTTCATGGAGGAAATACAGAAATTAAAGTTTCTGACCACATATTTGAATGATAATGTCATTTTTTTTTTAACCGAGGATCAAACTTGGAACCTTGTGCTTTTGAGGCAGGCAGTGGCACCACTGAGCTAAATCCCTGGCCCAGCATCATCCTTTTTTGACTTAAAATAAAACCTTTATAAATTCTTGTCTGGAGAATCATGATTAACTTTTAAGGGGAATTACAGAATGTGTTTAACTCTTTTTCCAACTCCTAAATACATCAGTTAATTTTATAATATATAATTATACTCAAAGCTTAGATTCTTTCAAAGTTGCCTATAAGATTATTTTGGAAACAAAGACAGATGCAGTTATGAGAAAACTTTTCATGACTAATTTCTGTTGATCTTATAGGAACTGCCATTAAAACGCTAACTGAAAAAGTCGAAAAGATGGCCTCATATCACAGAAATGTGAATAAGCCAGTTGGTGGGATTAATGTTACTGAAGTGTTCGTGATAAAAGAAGAATTACAAAAAGAACTGAAGGTGAAATCACTTTTATTTGATTAATATGCATTAATTCATCTTTTGATGAATATACCTTTTTCTATTTTGTTTGTTTTAAGACAGGGTCTTGCTATGTATTCCAGGCTGGGCTTGAACTCACTATGTAACCCAGACTGGAATTTCAGGCAATCCTCCTGCCTCAGCCTCCCAAGTGGGGGGATTGCAGGCATGCACCACCATTCCCAGCTGATGAATATATCTTAATCATTATGTTTCATAGTTAAATATAAACAAATACAAATATTCAGTGTAGTAGAGGTGGAAATTTTCATCTTACTTTGTTTTTAGTATTATATTTCAATTTCATAGAGTATCAAAGCTATTGGCGTGATAACTGGTAAAGCCTGAACATCCCTAATCTGAGAAGTCCCAAATTCCTAAACTTTTTGGGCACCAACATCACGCTCAGAAAGGTTCCGATTCAGGGTCTGGGGTGTCCCTCTGTGGTGCAGCCTATGCCTAGCACGCATGAAGCCCTGAGTTCAGTCCCCACTTCACGTGCGCACACAGAAACATGCGGTTCAGAATCCGAACCGTTTTGGGTTGCTGCGTTTTGCTTATGGAGGCTCATAACCTGTAAGGTCCATGCAAATATTAAAAAAAAAAAATCTGAAAAACTACAAATTCTGAAACACTTCTGACCCATGCATTGTAGATGAAGGGTACTCGGCCTGTAATAGCACATCCCACGCAAATTGCACTCCCATGTTTTGGGAATTTGTGTGTTTTACCTGGTGCTTGTAGGTGTTTGGTGCTGTGGACACAGACAGTTGTGTTTGCTAGAACCTGGGGTCTCCACATCCAAGTCTAGGGACTCTGTAAGGTTCTCAATCTCCTGATTCACACTTTGTTTGAGGCTGTGCATGTCCATGTTTGTAGCAGCACAGTTCATAACGGCTAAACCTCAGAAGTGGCCTAGATGTCCATCACTGCATGAGTGGATAAAGAAAATGCAGAATTCAAACACAACGGGGTGCTGCTCTGCCACAAAGAAGGATGAAGTCATCTGTAGGAACATGGACGCACCTTGAAACCATAACATTCAGTGAAATAAATCAGACGCACCAGCTTAAATATCACATGGTTTGTCCTATATGAGGAGCCCAGAATCCAGATAAAGAAGAAAGCAGATGACAGGCAGCAGGGGATAGATGTTTCTCGAATGAGAAGGGCACAGAGAGGTGGAAGGAGGGGAAGAGAGAGGAAGGCGAGAGGATGGAAGAAGGAACTGGTGTGTGTTAGGTACTTGGACCAACTCCACGGGAGGCAGGTAAACGTTACGTCCTGCAAGCATGGACCACTAAAAGAGAGACAGGCAGGCAGGCAGGTCCTGTCCTTTTGTGCAGAGCAGAGATGAGGCTGGTTCTGACACCCGAGGACACCAGGATCTCTGTGGTGGAGCTCTGCTGTTGTATTTCTGGGCAGCCTGTCTGCGTCTTCCAACAGTAGTCACACTTAAATTTCCACAGACATTAGATTTAATTCCTGTTTACCTGTGGAATCCAGAACATTCCAGCAAGCTACTTCCATTAGTACCACCTGCGTTACACAAGCTAAAAATGCGAGGAAGTCTGGCTTTGTTCAGGAGAGAGCTCAAGGTGTACACAGGGGAAAGTGCTTGCTTCCCCGCAGGGCTGTTCCCACAGGGCTTGTGTTGGGGGCACACAAGAGTGTTTCAGGAATCTTTGAAGTTCATGATGGATAAGAATATCTTTCCATGGCATGAGACAAAAGAAAAGAGGTGATTTCTTCAGCTTTCGGAACATGCACTTCCAAATTCGTTTGTTGCTGTGCAGAAATGCCTGGATTTGGGATCGTCTGTTATTCCCAGCATTTCGTTTTGTTTTGTTTGAGACAGGCTGGCCTGGAACTTGTGGTGCTCCTCTGGCCTCAGCCTCCCCAGGCCTGGTGGCTCACAGGTGTGCGCCACTACATCCAGCAGTGCTGTTCTCATCACCCAGCGTCAGCTGCTCAGTCTAAACTGCAGAATGAGTTCAGGGCGCTGCTCTCTGTAAGAAACATGACTTAAGCTTCCTGTATCCCTTTCAGTGCTCAGATGTGGATGAAGACGACTGGGACATATCATCCTTAGAGGAAGAAAAGTCTTTGGGGAAAAAAGCTGGGAAAGAACAGAAGGACCCTCCACTTGTGAAGAATGAATCGAATTCCACTCAAGTGCGAAATGCCTGGGGCGCAGTCTAGGGGACCCATGGGAGAAAGTGCGTCACCCTCATACCCCACCCACCCACCCCGTCTATCTCTGATTAGTCGTTTCATTTCTATAAATACCTGTTTTATATATGCTATTAGATCACCACATTGTAGAAGTATCATCTCGGATGCTGTATGTTATTTAAAGACTGAATATTTACACCTTACTGACTGAGACATTTACTGATCATTTTTGTTTACTTTTGGGCCTAATCTTCCATTTAATTCTTTTGTTATATTATTTTTCCAAATCTCCAAACAATCTCCTCATGCAGATGCCCCATAGAAATGCAGATTTCTAGTCATCTACCTGAATGAGACCATTCTTCTGGCTGGCAGCCTCCCTCTAACCCTCTGTTTCCTACTAAATATTTCTCTTGATTTTCTTCCAAGGGAAGTTTTTCTTGCAGCTTTGTAGTCAGTGGCATGAATTACAAGTGAAATCATTAGTTGAAATGCTTCCAGTCCAATTAGGTTGGAGCCCGGATAAGTACAGAAACTTAACTCTCAAGATCTCCTTCTTAAAATTGGAAAACTGTAGTTTATATTTTTTTATCAAAGTGGTTCTCGCATATGGTGGGAACCAAAAGTGAACAGAGCCCCCCCCCCAATATCTCGTCACCCCAGGCCTGGGGGGGGAGTGGACCCAGCCCCCAGTCCCAGGACTTGACACCTTCGGACTTTGACTGTCTGTGTCCCCTGCTGAGACAGGATTGGGCTCATTTCCACCAGCCCATCCTCCCGGCCACATCTCTGCCTTATTTATAACTGCAGTTAGTCCCCCTCCAGGTGTGCACCCTCCTCCCTCAGCTGGATCTCGTGCACCCCCTCTGGGAAAATGAGCTCTCTCTGCCTTGTCCCTTGGCCGCCATTGACCAAAAGGCCAGTACTTACTGTCACCTTGTCAGATAATAACATGACTGTCACAGAGCCCTCATGGAGCTATTTGTGCTGAGAATCGACTCTACTCTTTGAAATCCAAAAGCCCATGTTGTGTCACATGCCACTTAAGTAACAGGCCAGAGGGTGACCAAGGCATGGCCCACACCCCACGATGAAAGCATTTCTAGTCAAACTGGAGTGGCATTCTGTGCACTGTGCTATTTCAGTAGCTGAAAGTCCCGGCACTTTGAAAAGTTTATGTACCTTAGAAAAGTCTGTTTTTAACACTTAACCCTCTGGTACAGAGATTTGTATTGTCTTGTTGATTTTATTGTCCTTTTACAACATCTGCTCCCTCAGAGGTATTGATACTATACTGCCACCAGCGGACTGGGGACTTCGTTTCCAGGCCCTGTGCTGAAGGCTGGGGAAGGAGAGGCAGGAACTTGTGGGCCGAAGGGCAGAGCTCACCTACCAGGGTCACAGGAGGGGACCCTAGAGATGTGCCCAGTTTGTGCTGGATTTTACAGTGGCCTCCTGCATAGCTTGGTCAGGACCAGGGATTCCTGAAGAGAGTCTACTCTGAGTGAGAGATGACAATAGGGAATCATGGGCTTTCTCAGGCCTGACTGTGTTTGTTTAACCACTGAGGATTCTCTTCTTCCTTCTCCCTCTCCCTCTGCAGGACTTCAAGAAATGAGCTGCTTTAAAAAGCAGCGTAGTGCCTGAGGCTGACTGGAGTGACTCTTCAGAAGATTCCCCAGAAACCAACAGTGTTCCGTGGTGGCCTGCACAATTCTAAAGCCCCTGCCTTACGGTGTTTCTCTCAGTAACAAGGATGCCACCTCAGAGAACAAGGGTCTCTTCAATGGCACTTAATACAGTATTGAAAAACAAACTGTCAGCAGTATTTTAAAGCATGTAAAGGTGTTTCACATCCGCGGCTAAAAAATAACGTGCCATTAAAGTCAGAAAAGGTGTTTTCATCAGAATGGTACCTCTAGTATTAAGTGCATTTTTTTCAACTTATTTTTAAGTGAAACTTTTTAATTTATAGCAAGTTTTGGTTTGGATTATTACAGCTTTTTAAAATATTTTATGTATATTGTCACATTGGATGCCTTGATACTACAAAACTTAGTTCGTCTTTAAATTGTGTTAGAGCACAGTAAAATCAAGAGTTAGACTGATTATTTGTCATAATAGAAGTTTAGAATAGTGATATATAGCTAGGCCTACTTTAAATACATCTTCCTAAATTTCTTGGTCACGTTCATCTGAGTCACTGTAAGCATGTTGCCACTGTTATTTTCTGCGCCATAATCTTTTATCTTGGATATTTTATGAGTACAGTGTAGCTATTTAAAATGCCAATTTATCAGAATACAAATGGAAAAGATTGATTCATTACTGACTCACGTGTAGGTAGTTTTTTTTTTTTTTTTGGACTTGAAAAATACTCAACCCTATTATAAAATACCTCAAAACTAATTTAGTTATGTTGTTTAACAATGACATTGTTAAAGGCCAAAAAGTTCATATGAAATGTTTTTTTGCATTTTTTTATACTTTGTGGTACTGTCCGTACTTTGTTTCCCAAAAAAGTAACATTTTAACTAAATGGTTTATTGGATTTTAGATCTCTTTTCATTTGTCAAGGTTACCAGTAAAGCCTTTTCCATCACACCCTTGTAACTCTTGCTGATGATTCTGAGATGGTTTCTAAGTTGAATTTATACTTTTCTTGGAGACAGGGTCTTGCTATGAAGTTCAGGGGCCTTTTACTATGGTTTCTAAGTTGAATTTATACTTTTCTTGGAGACAGGGTCTTGCTATGAAGTTCAGGCTGGCCTTGAACTCATGGTGATCCTCCTGCCTCAGCCTCCTGAGTGCTGGGATTACAGGCACACACCACTATACACACAGCTGGATATATACTTTTAGTGGGGCGGGGATCGAACTCAGGACCTTGTGTTTGCTAGGCAGGCGCTGTGCCACTGAGGTACATCCAGGCCCAGGATACTTTTGTGAGGTTTTAACTAGAGGAGGGGCTTGCTGTGGTAGCCACATAACATCCTGGCTTCAGAATAAACCTGTTTCTATCTCCCCAGGGAACCTTTCACTTGTACCTATTCTAAATTTGTAAACATTCCCCAACTTCCTGCAAGAACATTTTAATGCAGATACACTCATTCTGTTTCTAAAATCTTTTACTAAATGATGAATCAGTTTCACTAGGAAACACAGAGCTAGGCAACTTACACATTCAGTGAGCCTGAGGTAGCCATGCCTTGTTTCGTTCACACAATCATTTCTGCAGCAAATACTTATTGAGCCACTTGGTTTGGGTTTGTTTTTGCTTTTAAACCACATTAGTTCACTTAATTAGAACTACTGTGAGAGGTGGCTGTTTTATGACCCTCATTTTAAAGATATGAGAAACAAAGTTATTAAGTAACTTACCAAAGGCCCTATATACAACCAGAAAGTGACAAGAGCAGTCTATAAACCAAGCACCTTCCAAGTTCTGTCTTGGTCTTGAGCAGACAGGCTGTGGAAAATGTCTGCTCCTGCTAAAAACTAATCCCAATATTTAAATTAAGTCAATGTGTTTGTGTCACAAAAGCCAATCTTTTATCTGTCTAGCCATAGCATTTTTTTTTTGGCATTTGGTTTGTTCCTTTTCCTTTGGACCATTACCTTCTAGGGCCCCTCCTGTGAGCCAGCTAACATGTTTCTGTTTACTTGCAGAATTTTTCCATACCTTCATCCTCCCTCCTCCTGAAATTTTTCAGTACATTTTTACCAGCTCCACTGTAAGTAAAAAAAAATTATTTTAAATGCACACTTACATAGTCCTGTCTGCACACTAGCCACAAGCACCTATCCTACCTTTATGTCTTTCTGGAGAAAGATATTTCAAGTACTTTGCTAACGTGGCACTAACTAGTATGGAAATTTAAACAAACTTGTTCATTTCCTTTTCTTTCCATTCAACACCTCCAAACAACGTGATTTTTTTTCCCTTTTAAGGCTTTCACACCAGGGAAATAATTTATTCACCTGTTTCAATTCATAGTGGACAACCTCCTCCAGATAACACAGGTACGCAGAGCTGTGTCCCCAGCCCCCTTGCTATGTCCCCATGCTGGGGATGGAGGATAATAGGTCTCGGGGACTCCTGTATGCTACAACTGAGCTGCTTCCAGCTCTCACCAGTTCTAATTCTGTATTTCCCCCTGGACTGTCCCAGCTCTAAGTCCTGTTCTGTCACTACTGTGACAAGTTTCTCAAACTCTGCTCTAATTTCCTTCTCTGTAAATGCAGGATAAGAAAAGTACATGCTGCATAGGGAAGCCTGAGGGGTTAGGTAGGGCATGTAAGCTTTGTGTTCATGGTGATGACCGCTGCCCTTGTGGGCATATTATATTTAGACCTGGCCTTTGGCATTGATGTCCTTGTTGGAGCAACTCACATGTCTTGAAAAATGGCAAATCTCTCAATTCCCAGTTGGTTCCCTAACAGAACCTGTAAGACACAGCCCATCAGTTCTGAGTGAGGCAGGTGCCATGCTGGCTCTGGGACTTCCTTTGTTGCTTTTAGAGTTCACCCCAGCTGGTGGCCGCAGCTGAGCTGCTAAAACCCTGCTGTTTCAGAGAAGACTGGGCAGTTACTTAAAGGTGGATGTGGCACAGAAAGGGCAATAACACTTTGTCCTCACTGGCCCTTCCTTGAGCCATAACAATAAATGACAGGTGTGACAAATGGGCGCAAGAAACTAGAAGGCAGCTCGATGCAGCTGCCAATAACTTGTGTATTTAACTTGGACGTCTTGTGAGGAACAGTCTCAGATTGGCCCCACAGTGTTTAGAAGACACCGTTCTTTATATACTTCCTGTTTAATATATGAATGAAACAAGAAATGGGATCAAATATCTCAAAGTATGAATGATCAAAAAGGATATATTACGAATACCTCTTGAACCTTTGGTATCAAATGCTTTTACACATCCTGTAAATGTACGAAATGGACAAATCCTGTAAATAACCTGTTTTTTTTTATAGAAACCCATAACAAAATGATTAGTACATGACCATGTAAGAACATTTACATCCATACAATCAACACATTCTTCAAATTCATATTTTAAAAATAGTTTGATCGTTAATTATAGGAGGGTCTTTGATGGGATCAAACTCAAGACACAGCTTGCCAGCAGAGCTCTTCAAACATAAGCATTTTTATCGAACTGTTTTGAAGGGCTGGTGGTTTTAAAATCTCCTTCTCCGCCATGATACTTTGTCCGAGAAGACATGACCGATGTAGCCCCGTTGTATGTGTATACCATTCTGAAAAGGCAAAAACAGTTTGGTAGATTCCGTTCTACTCACAGGACAGACAAAAACTGGATGAAAACCATTTCTGTCAGTAGCTAAGCTTGAGTCTTCCTGTTTCTCGTTACCTTTCATCTTTCATCTCATTGGCTTCAAGAAATAGCTCATTTCTGAGTAGCTTGCATGGCAAAAATTTCTATAAAAGAAACTCGTGACTCATGGAGTTATTCTTTATCAAAGCTGTTTTTAAAGAATTCATTTTCCTGGAATCTAGAAGCCTCAGTATTGACCTTCATCCATAAATTCCTGCCTGGGACCAGGGATTCAGCTCAGTGGTTCCCCCTGCCTGAGTTCGATCCCTGGTACCAAAAAATCCTGCCTATATGCCGATGAAGCCAAGGTGAAGAACACTCCCTCGCAGTTAGGTTTATATCTCTAATTACAGAAATACTTTTGTGGGAGTATGATGAGGAGGAGGAGGTATTTTTGTTTTTAAAACTGACAATATTCCTCACCTTTTTGGTTCAGGGCTTTTGAAGTTTCACAGGATCGCATGACCTGTCCCGCAGTTTGTCCCATGCATAGTGATGATTTACAACAGTATATAGTACCTTTTGGCAGATAATGTTTGTCTCTTTCATACCTGGGCGTTTTGTTGTTGTCAGATATTGAGAAGCAAAATATCACACCGCCAATGATGCAGAGAGAGGCTCCTGCCCATCCAATAAACAGAGCAGCTCCCAGTTCGTACCTGTGAGAAAATAAGACCCAAGTATTACAGCTCGCCTCCGGGGAAGTGAGTTTAAACAGTATTTAACCCTGCTAGCCGCCACTGACTGAATGCCCCTTATATTTTTTGCTGTTGGAACTTGTAAAGGAACTGGTAATACCTTTGTATCAGCAGAATGCTTTAAACTCTTCTCAAAGTGTTTTTATGGCGATGGCTTTTTTACACTTCTGCAACATTCTAAAAGGAAATGAGGGTGTCCAGGAAGGAGGGGTCAAAACGCAGGTCTCCTGACTTACTTGGCATCCTCTCTCTTGTACACTACCTTTGCTTCCCCAAACTTTGCATCCATTTAGTCTGCCCACAGGATAAATTATTTCTGCACACTGCATTTAAAAAGGCGACGCTGCCTCTGCTTTGATTTCTGATCAGTTCAGTGAGTTCCTATCGATATCAGTTAGCTGTAGATAAACCACAGGTACAGGGTGGCCCACCGAGGACCAGGGCTAGAACGGCATCACCCAGTTTATCACTAAAATCTAGTGGGGAGATGAATATGCGGCTGAGTCCATAAGCACGGTATAAAGCACCTTCTAAGCCACCATATTCTGCAGATAACCTCAGGAGATACAAAGATAAAGGAGACAGTTCCTTCCTGGGGAGGTCACTGTACAAAGGTTAGAGTAATGCTACCGAGAACACAGAAACAAGTCACCTTCCACAGAGTGCTACAGGAAATCCTTTTGTTTGAGGAGCAGTCACCCAAACAAAGGACTGAGGACACACAAAAGGCTCAGGGTTGTGTGCTGCTCCCATGTTTGCCTGTCCCTTTCTTGCAGAATAGGTATTTGTTTTGTTTTTATAAACAATGACTCATTTGGGGCCCAATACACCTTCACTGCCGTGCAAAAAAAAAAAAAAAAAAAAAAA